GTCTGTTAAAGAATTTCTATTGGTCGACAAAATCATATGATCTTCGGTTAGGGGGGACCCACTTGCGCACAGACCCAATTAGACACAATTAATTTTTTACTGCAAATTCTGTCGAGTTTTAAATAGACGGGATAGAATTAAGTATCTTATTATAGTATATTGCATATGATTTTACATTAGTTTACGCTAGGTTTTGTTAGGTAAGGTTAGGATGGGGTGGAATGTTCAAACTTCGGCGACTGGATATGTTAGTAGATAAGTATATCGTTGGCGAGCAAGCGAACTGAGTGAGTCCGACTGAACAAAACATTAAATGTTCGAAAAGGTTTTGTACGATACAGATAGCTTATAATATTATTGAATGACTGGTGGAAGATCAATTTATTGTGTCTGTGCGCAATGTACATACATAATTTCTTTTCAAAACTGCATAAATACGCTTACTAACCTTCACATGTTATTGCGATAATATTTATCTCCGGGCAGTGGCCTATAATATATTGTATCCCTAATAGCTTGAAAACGAGTTTGCATGTAAAAATGAATTAACCTTACTATTGGAATTACTCGTATTAATGTATTTCATTCAATTATTTCCAAAATTGGATCATAAATTTTTCCTGCCTTAATGCTGGGATTTTATTTATTCTCCAAGTTGTTCTAATAATAGTAATTTGTTTTATAAAGAGGCTACAAATATTATATGTACCTATAATGAACAGTGGAACATCGATTCACTGGGTGGACGTTATCCGTGTGGCGGGTTAAGGGAATGCGCATGCACATCATGGCAATGAAGGGATACAAATTTCTCTTAAATATGACGTCGCAAAGATTTCTGAAAGAAGAGGTCGGATTTCTGTCGGTAATCAACGCATAAGACATCTTTAAAAAACAGGAACTACAAATGAAAGAAATAGTGATTCGATTACGGTGTTCACAGTTTACTTAAAAACATAGTTAACGACTCGAGTGTTTTATTCGTTTGTTTAATATTGTTATTGTTTTTAGTCTTTATTGTTGGGACGAAAGCAAGCATGTTTAAACTATGTATGACTTTGGATAGGATTCATTAACTTTTGGAAACTAATGTAATCTCTATTGTTGAGAACAAACAGTCGGTAATTACAATATAATGTAGTTGAGATATTGGTGACGAATTATTCAGAGAAATGAAGCATTTTTTGTAACTGAATGATATGGTTTTGATTTTAATTTATAGCGTTTAATTAGTTCGACAAGAAATGCAAATAAATTGTAATCAGTCGAACCGAATAAAATGTTATTGTGTTTAACGAATAGTGTATATTTATCAGTACCTACCTTGGCTAGAATAGGAATTGAAATAATGTCTGAAAGCAGGACGTAAGAAAAAAAAAAGATTTAGTCAAGAGTTAAGGGAATGAAAAATTTACAGTAAGAAAGGTGTTTTTAAAGTAAGAATACATGGAAATCAGAAGCAAAGCTGAAAATAGACTAAAAAAGAAGGAAAGAGACCAATGGAGATAAAGAAAAAAGTAGGAAGATGTAAGGACTAGAATGATGTAGAAGATTGCAATGAATGAGAAATCAGTATGTAAAAAAAAAAGGTAAAGAGAGTTGGAAGAGATGATATGAAAGAAGAAAGATTAAGGATTTGGTTAAAAGGGAGAAAGGATAACGAGTGAAAGAATTATACTAACAGAAAGTAGAATGAAAAATAACGGAAAAGGGAGCGAAATAAGGCCCATCCCGCCTATTTCCGTGGGAACCACCTCCACACAACGGAGCTGCGACCCCTCCGAGGCCCAACAAGGGACCGTGTTTTTTTTTAATTGAGGAAAACACCGAGTCCTGCGGTTAATGCGTATAGAACTAGGTCGGCAACGTCAGAAAAGAGAGAAAGTCGGGTCGAGCGACAAGGAAGACGCAAAAGGTAAATTAGCCGCAACGAAAGACCACGGGCGTAAGACCCGATGGTGCCCTTGCAAGCACCGCCAGGACGTCTCCAAGGACGAGACATATGACGCTACAACCTTCACCACTTGCCACCGACCAAGCTCAGTGGGTTAGGCGTAAAGGACTGCGTCCGTCGGCGGCGGATCCGGACAACTGTTGATCCTCGCGCAAAATGTCTCCGACAGAGGGTGACTTCAGATTAGCAGGTGCTCAATAGCATCTGATAGTTTACAATTTCAATTCAATTTTTATCTTTATATTTTGCGAGTTTGATTTAGCCTCAATTTTATATTCTGAATAGATTTTGAAAGTGAGTCAAGATTCAATAATATTTAGTAACATTCTCAGGTCTTGAACAATATAATGATGTTATGATAGTTAGTGACATAGTTAAAACAATGACACGTTTCAGACGATTGAGTATTATCTGGGGACTTGCATGATATTGCAAATCGGGAAATAAAAGGCGTTAGTATTCACTAGTTTATATACAAGAATCATTAACGCCTAATACTACCGTATCAAATTAAACTCTATTTTTTTTTTGTATACCGTTCTATATTTCAGATTTTGTTTTGAATGAATTCAAAAACTATTGTTTAACCCAATTTTTGAATATAACAGGAAGCTTGGGTCAGCACCATTAATATTGATTAATATTGCATTTTCCAGAAAAGAGTAAGAAAATGAAACAAGCGTAATTGCGGTCTCCAGGTCAGTTTGACAAGTCAAAAAAATACACGTACTCTACATCCAAGACGTTGTTCTTGAAAAAAAAAAGATTTCTGAATCCTAAATCGAGCTGATTCAAAATTTTTCTCGTGTTAAGAAAGTAGTTGATCTAATATTTTAGTTATTTAATTGTAAAAGAAAAAGAATAACATCTTCTATTGTTTGATATCAAAATGATGATATAACTTTTATTTCTGCTGATAGCAACTTGAAAAAGATTAAAAATAACAAGTAATTCGTGACATCTAACATCTGACCTTGTGATGAATAAAAGCAGAAATCAGAAAGAAATCTATATGACGATTCTAATCTAGTGACCCCAATTCAGTTTTTGTGTCACGAATTAATTCGAAGTAACAGCACAAAGTGCGGTTACAGCCACTTTTCTAGAAGTAAGAAAAGAAAAGGATCGATTTCATGTCGTAACTAATTCTATATCAGTATAAGTTGTAGGTGGGCCTCTGTAAAGAAGTTTAAATATACAATTTTGATATTTTATTTATTTCTAGCTTCGTGCCTTATCAATTAAAGACTATCTCAGATCAATAGTCTTTAATTCAATGTATCTAACGTCGCATTAGTGTATAGTCCGAAAAATTAATATTATCCCGTCATCATAGCCAACTATAAAGTATTCATACGATCAGTTTATTTAGAACAGATTTATGTATATGGAAAATTAATACTTCATAGTGTGTAAAAAATCAACACATACTTATATGTAAATACAGTAGAACCTCAATTATTCAAGCCATTGCAGACTGACCCTAGCTCGGATAATCATCAAACTTTCGGGTAATACGAGTTCAACTTTGTAAGGAAATAAAAGCACATTTTATGTATTTAGGCACAGCTAATCAAGAGACTTAATCGAGTCTTGCGCCAAGTACAGGCAACCGGCGGTACAGGCAATTCAGTCTATTGCAAACGCCCCAGTCAATGCATGTCATACGGTGTGCACAGCACATCAGTCTTGACGAGCTCGGATAATATGGTTTACACAAATATAATCCGAGCTCGATAATCGTAAACGCAGATAAAAAGAGCTTAAATAATATCAATTCTACAGTAGGTACCAAAAATTTAAGTTTAATAATGTATTTGCAGTGGACAATAACATCAAAATAACCAAACATATTTCTTACATTTAATTGTCAGTTTGCACGATAGATACATTGTATTCACGAAAATATTCTTATTCAAAAATTTATGACAATTTATTTTAACTCTGGAATATATCGTGTTGTTGAAAATTCGTAACAGCGTTGTACGAAATATAACAGGATATAAGGTTATGGTCATTAAAAATAGGGCCGTATCTATAGTAAGTCCACGAGTTCGGTGTGGTTTTTTGACAGATCGAAAACTATGAAATCCCTAGCCTGCAACATGTGCTTTCATGAGGCCTGCACCAGTAATTTCTTCTAAAAGCATGTCATGCTTTAATTTATACTTTTGCTCTTGTATAGTAAGAAGAATAAGATATAATTACACACCAAACTGCTGCATAATTGTTTGATATAATGAAATTGCGGTATTAATATTACGAAAATATTTTCTACCAGTAATGTTGGCAGTAATAGAATGACTGCAAAGAAAATCCAGTGCCGTCTCTGGCCGTGGTAGCCATATGACACATGTATGTTCCATGTTCATGAATGCATATAATTTCGTCCACAGCATGAAGTAGTAACTTTAAAAAAATGGTTTCTAATAAAAATATGATTCATGTTCATGAATTTGCGGTATTAATATTACGAAAATATTTTCTACCAGTAATGTTGGCAGTAATAGAATGACTGCAAAGAAAATCCAGTGCCGTCTCTGGCCGTGGTAGCCATATGACACATGTATGTTCCATGTTCATGAATGCATATAATTTCGTCCACAGCATGAAGTAGTAACTTTAAAAAAATGGTTTCTAATAAAAATATGATTAGTATATCATAGAATATGTAGGAGAGAGTTTCTAGGAAACAAAATTTTTTAGATCTTTAAGGAACCCTTTTCTAATACGTCAATGTTCTAAAATGAAGTGCGGTAGCACATTTTACTGCGCCCGTTAAAGTAGTGTGTGTATAAATTTATGAAATCAAATATATGATCATTTTATTTACATATGTGAATTAATAATAAAACTTAAACGTTTATTTCAATTATTTTGACAGACTGACGATAAGAACTTTAACTCTACGTATACTTTTTGATCACCTCGCGTGTTGTTTAAAATCATAGATCGACCCGTATTGGTGAGGGGTGGGGACGGAGGCTTGAACGCGTAGTAAAACCATTCAAAGTAACTAGGGACTACTTTCGTATGCTGCCAATTGCCTACACTGAACTCGTGGATATACTATAGGTACAGGTGATTTAGTCGTATAGAAAGGTTGGTACAAAACGACGCATGGCATATAGGAATTTTTGACGTAACCAACGCGATACATCACTCTATCGATTCTTTTGCTTTTGTTAACGATACACGCTACTCAATTACCGTTGGATGGTTGTGACACGCGTTCACACTTTTCGTTCGCTTCTGTACAAATAACACACTCGTATTTGATTAATAAAGGAATACATTTCAATCCATTCCGAATAACCGCTGGGCTCAGCGTCGCACTTTTCTTTTTTCTCCCGTCGTCTCCTTGAAAAGATCGTTTTTCTTTATGCCCGATGAGCATGCGCGACGCACCAACTTCCCTCCAACTTGCCCTCTCCAACTTCCAGCACTCTTTTAATACTCTTAATCATATCTGAAGATTGAGAAGTTTTCACTCTTAGTATTTCACTCTCGAAAAACAATCTTACTCGCGAGAAGCAGACGCGGATTACAGTTACATCGTTGAGCCACGTGAAACTTACTGCCAAACAATGGAGAACATAGACGGGATAATGGAAAATGAGGAGGAGCCAATTCTAAGCAGGAATCTTGAGTTTTGGATGAGTCAACTTCCAGCGACCCTTAAATCTCTACCTATAATACATTTGGCTATTCCCGGTAAGGTTTAAACATATCACTAATATATATTTGATCTGTATAAAAATACTTGAACATAGTTAAATTTTCAAAAAACAAGTACACTTAGAAATTTCAGTAAAATATATGTGTCCAAAATACAGTGTGTTCGTGAATATGAAAGATTTTTGAGCATTTGTTCTTATTGTGATCTCACAATCGATTAACATTTCGTTATACTAATTTCATATCAAGTAAAAAGTTAGGATTATAGAATAGTATGATAATGAAATGATACAAAACCTTGTTAATATGTTTAAAAAATACTAATATTAAAATATTATAAAAAATGTATGTGTCAATATGTAAGACCAGTATATAAATATAAATAGAGTCAACTTACGTGATTCATTACAAATCATACGTTAGAATTAAGGAAAATAGAATTGTATAGAACAATGAACAGATCTTAATAGCCTTCGACCTGCACTAGGTTCCCACGACACGATGACTTACACAATTGAAAAGCATGATGATGTGGGGCCAGACGTACCTGTCTTCGTTAGATTTTTGGGTCGATATTTCTCGTGCATCTCTAAACGGATAATCTTCAACTGGTCTGTCACCCAGTATGAAAATGTGACGCAACAACTCAATGGTGGAATTCGTTATTTGGATTTACGCGTTGCTTGGAAATTCAATAACAACATACACTTCCTGCATGGTCTATATGGCGCTGAAATTACTAAGCCACTTGAGGAAGTGGCTTATTGGCTGACAGCTCATCCTGGAGAAATAGTAATTCTGGATTTTCAACACTTTTACAAATTTCAACACGATCATCACGAGATTCTAATAGACAAAATACATTCAATTTTTAAAGGGAAAATATGTCCGGTCTTCGCCAACTTTAACCACATATCTTTACAGTGGCTCTTCCTGGAGAAATATCAAGTTTTTGTGATTTACAGATCTCCTATAGCTAAGAATTATACAAATATGTGGTCGAGCGGTATGTGGCCCAATCCTTGGCCAAATACCTTTCACCCTGATTGTTTGATCAATTTTTTGAATGACAAATTACATACAAAATCATCTGATGTTGCATTTATATTTCAATGTCTACTTACTCCAGATACTGCTTATGTTATCAAACATTTTTGGGGCAGTTTGCAAACGGATCTTGCTGCTGAGTGTAGAAACACCATTTTACCTTGGATTAATCAACAGATACCTGGCAGTGGAGGATTGAACATAGTGATCACTGACTATGTGTCTCATAACAATTTTCAATTTACGAAAACAGTTATTCAGCGTAACGCTAAGTTCCTAAGAAGAAAAACGGAGAATTCTTCCACAAAGTACATAGAAGTAAAACCTAAGTAGGGGATTATATAATAGTATATTATTAAATTGAAAATTTAATTATGATTAAATCTACAACGATTTGCCCATTAAATATAAGACGTAAGTATGTTACTACGTAAAATAATAAACCTGCCTTGGTATAAGTTCTAAAAAAAAGGAATAACTTAATCTACTATAAATGTGCCTAATTCATTTCAACAAGGGGTGTGTTCCGAAATTTACTGACAGTACTGTAAAAGTAATTGCATCTCTCTTAGATGCGTATGGATGAATAAGGACATAGCGTTAGTTAGAGTACTGGCAGTACATTTCGGAACACACCCAAGTTGTACATACTTTTCATAAAATAAAAAAACTACCATTTGCAGTAATACGACATTGCTCATTATAATAGGTTATAATTTTGTATTATTAATGTATTACGTATTTATACATATTACAATGATTCAACGATTTCCCTGTTAAAACATTTTGGTTATTAGAATAATCGGATATTAATGTGGTTTACAGAGTAAGAGTATTTATTGTTATTTACAATAAATTATACATGCACATTACTGTTACAAATGTATATGCACGCAGAGAAGGTTCTAGAAAATTCAAATTCCTTTTAAGATAGTAAGTTGTATCAGGTGGGGTACTTGTCGATTTAATTGGAAAAAAGACTTTAAATATATTAATGACGACCATACTCCTGCAGAAAAATCAATGTTCCTACAAGAGTTACAGATAGATAAGAACGTTTAATTAGTATCAAAAAGATAACAATGTTTTTATTTGCCTTGGCAACTGTAATAGTTGAGAATTCAATGATAGATGCAATGGATTGTTCTTTTAAATACCAATAAATGCTTCTATTCTACTAGTTTTTTATTAACAGGGCCATCTCCTTGTATTTTCATAATAATAAGAACGTAATGGTTCCGCAGTTTAAATATGCTTCTAGTATTTTTTTTAATTCTCATATCACAATCGTATGAAAAAATCATGTCAAAGATCTTGACACTCGGATGACGATAAAATCATAAATTGGCAGTAGTATACTGTAATGGTAGTTACATATAAATTGACAACAACGTGAAAATCACTATTTTGAGTATGAGCAAGAAATTATTTGCTCCATACGTCAAATTACTTCGTAAGTTACTTATCAGGCTTAAATGACTTACTCATGTCCCTATCCAGGTACCATCAAAGGTACATTAAACTTTTCCAAAATGTTTCCGTAGAAGAGATCGCTACTAAACCCATTCTTCTTCATACTGTGTGTTTGGGTTAAAGAGAACAACAAAAAAAAATAAAGAAAACTTACGGCTCTCTAGAATTCATAAACTGACTATCATTTTTGTTGGGTCACAAAGCTTTGACCTTAAGTTGTTTCATTCTAGGTGCTCGTTTCTTTGCCAGTCTACGTTGTTCCTTCTCTTCCCATTTTCTTTGTTTGTCTGGATCCTCTTCTTGCAGGATGCGGTCTTTTTCGGCTCTACGACGCTCCTCTCGTCTTTGTGCTGCAGCCTCAGCCCGTGCAGCATGAGTCGTTTTTAGAAAAGCCTCCTCTACACGTAAACGATTTTTTTCAGCCTTATTTTTCCCCTGAAATGCAAAATAAAACAGCATTACAGCAATTTCATATTTTAAAAAACTGATTACAGATAAGTAAATCGAAATACAATACCTCCTTAGAAAGCTTAAAACGACGCAATTTGTCTATAAGATAGAATGTCAATTGGAGCAAAGGTCTCATTTGTTCTTGTGTTTCAGCATTAGGCATACGCCCTTTGATACTTATGTTAAGACCTACTAAAAGAACTTTCTTGACCTCAGGCATGGTCAATTGTGTTGCATCTCTGAAAGCCAATATTTTATTTGTTTCAATAAAAAGTGTAAATTTTTATTTAACGCGTTCAATGGCATGTGAGTTTCTTTTGTCTTGCCAGCTACGCTAAAATTTTTGAAATACGAAACATCGCTGGAGCTAATCACGCGTGACCTTCATAACATTGAACACATTAATTAAGTTCTAGGTTTTTAAATTAATTTTGTCAATTTCTAGACTCACTCTTGTTGTTTGGGCCCACTGTATTGATCACTGATGTGGATGTAGTCAATGTATGGAGCATATTTGTTGAAGGCTTGAAGAACTCTTGTGTCCAGAATAGCTGAGGCAGCTTCTGCAATTTCTGACATAATTTGGAATCCTGCTGGTAAACCAAACTTTTCTCCAGGTCTTTTTTCTGGACAATATACACTAATGTCTGCCATATCTCTTGCTAAATGCATGGCTGTTCTCTTCGCTGCTATAGCCAGAACAAAGTTTTCCGCCTCATCCTTTGCCAATTCGATTCTTAAATGGGCTTGATCATTTTGTGGCCTAATTAATTGCGCCAAAACTGCTACTAGATCTTGTCTCTTGATTAATTTTAGTTCTATTAACAGTGAATCACATCCTACTCTGCCAGAACAGTAGAGACTGTACTGGGATTCACTCTCCTTAAACAAATCACTTTCTGTAGTTTCTTCGCTATTCTTCCCATTGTCTCCAACCAGTGAAAAGTTATCTAGGAGCAGTTGCTTGTAATTAGCTAACCATGACTCAGCAAGACGACAGTTTTTAGATCTACCAGCTATATAGTTTATAAAGTAAACCAAAAGTCCAGCAACCATTAGTATTTCCAGATAGAAACTGTCCCATCTTGCTCGTAAATGCAATGGAACTTTTGTAATTGTTAAAGTGGATGGTTCATCAGGTTTTGAGCCAGGGCTTGCACCTGTTGCATCCAGACCTTCGAACTCTTCTTCATCTTGAAAATGATCAAATTCACTATCTCCATCCTCGACTAAAACGTCGTCTTCTTCAAACCCCTGAGTTATATCTGCTTCTTCAAATTGTTCTGGAACATCGACAGGCTGTACCGGAACACTAGGCTCTTCTTCAAAATCCTCAAATTCTGCAAATTCATTGTCTTCTGGAAGATCTTCTTGAAAGTGTGCAGTTACCCATAAATTTGTCCCAACCAGCACTATATGAAGTGCCACCAGCCACAATCTCATGTTAACTACAACAGAAATAACGCAACCACTATTTATAAAAACTTTCAATTGCCAAACAATATTATCAATGAGAAAAAATGTATATATATATTTCAGTATATTCAAAATTAGTTGTAATTACACATGGATTCAAAATAGCAAAAGCAACATAATTGTTAACAATAAATTATAAATAATAGTAACAAATTCAATGAGTTGATTGGTTGAAATAAATACAAATGACAATATGTAAAGAGTCTGTCATTATGCAAGGTTACAATTATTAGAGTATTGTAAGAAATAATAGAAGCCTTAAACAAACAGTTGCATAATGAATTGATACTTAGAGATAAGATTCAGATATATAAATAACCAAACAGGTTTATAATCATGTTCATAGTAGTTCTGACATATAAACTACACAATACCTATATTTTTAAAATAAAACTTATTTGGATGCAATAGTTACATCTAAATTTAATGTTTCATTAACAGTAAAAGTACCTGGAACCAACCATGCATTGACTGTTTTAATTTACACATTGATGTCATTCGATGTCTAAATTAATATGAAAGGTGTGATATTTCACTTGCAGGTACATAATTTGCCAAAACAAGTTCTTTTTGAATAGATAACAAATATTGAACAGTTTCAAAGAATTTGATTTAATAAGTGTTTTTTATTGAATAAACGATACTTTCTATATATCTGAAGAATATTTCTTAATTAATAAGGAAATTATAACAGTACCTTATTTTTTTTGAAAAATGGATATATATCCAAGTCTTTTAATTTTCAAGCATGGGACTAATTAACTAGGCCAACTATCACAAGTGTAGTAAACTGTAGCAGAAAGGTGACTTGCACCATATGAAGGTTGCTGCAAAGCAATTCTCAACTCGATTCGTCATATCCGGTAACACGACTACCTACCTACTTTTGGATTTAAATTAATATGTAGAGAATTATGATCATTATGCTATCAAATAATCTTCTCAGACTTTTTATTGCATTAGTTTTAACAAGTCTTATATCGTACTTATACATTATATTTTATTTGTTACAATATCCTTAAAATAATTTTTACAGTAATAGATTTATTCAACAGTGTAATTTTTATCCCAATTAGTTTTTATTTCGTATGCATTTTACAGTTTTACGTCAAGAAGATACTAGTAGAAGGGCTCCTTGGTGCTGTTAATAACATATTAGACGTGAATATATCTCAATTTCTTTAGATATATATATAAAAAAAAATATACATATTTCTTATTGATCTGTTATCTCATCTCAGAAATGGGTAAGTTATGTGCACGAATTCCTACATGGCCAAAAGAAGGTTGGCAATGAATTTAATAAATCATTTGACTTTGTTTTAAATATTTTATGTTAAATATTTGTATAGAGATCTCTCGGATGGTAAAGTAGATCAAGAACTTCATTTGTCTCTTAATGTTCACTGACATGGCATAACCCATGACCTGAAACGCGAAACATCGATTCTGAAAATCTACGAAATTGACATTTACCTAAGGAAACTTCACCGCGCAAGCTCAGGAAGTTGAATGTTTTTCCTGAGAAAGTACGGCAATGCGTTTTCCACATAAACTTCATCTGCGGTGTTAAGAATTGTCACAGCATCGGAATCTTGATGCTTGGAGTTACTTCTGACAGTGAGGGCTATTATTTTGTATTGTTAATTAGAATTTCTAGCGCAGGATCGATAACTTGTGGATACAAAGGGTGCGTGTTAGCAGTAGAGTACAAGTATTCAACCAAACAATGGATCAATAGCAAATGTTCGCGTCGGATACGCAGTCACCACGGAAAATAATTCCTTCCTGTTGTTGAGTCTTGACGTTTCTTAAAGATTACTCAAGTGGGTTTATAAAGTTTTTGGCAACAGCTGGTAAATATTCTGTCTTTACTTTCTGTATCATCTACTACCCTCAATGACGTACACTTAGTAATTACATGAAATAACACAATTTCTTAAATACCATTGTATTATGTAGTAATTTTTAAAATATTAATGTCAAACTAAATTGTACTAATAGTGTGCACTCCATATTTCTCTATTATGTAGTCAGTGTTTGATATTAAGTCTTGAGAGGAATTCTACACAGATTGCAATTTCTATAAAATATATATTCTCAAAGTATGTACAATTGAATATTTTGTTATAGGTAATTATTGACACAGAATGGAGAAAGTTGATAAATCGTTAAAAAAAAGAGACACCAGGATGACAATGTCCACAGATGGAGGTACTCAGTGTGTCCAAGTTGTTGTCAGATGTAGACCCATGGATGAGAAAGAAACGGCTCGGGGTTATTCTCGAGTAGTTGATGTTATTCCATCCAGAGGTGTTGTTGAAATACGTCATCCCCGTGAGGATCCATCACGAGACAATGTTAAAGTCTTTACATTTGATGCTGTTTACGATTGGCACTCCAAGCAGCAGGACCTGTATGAAGAGACAGTGAGACCGTTAGTCTCATCAGTTTTAGATGGATTTAATGGGACTATTTTTGCATATGGACAAACTGGCACTGGAAAGACATATACTATGGAAGGCACAAAGTGTGATATAGAAAGACGAGGAATTATTCCAAGGTCATTTGAGCATATTTTCAATCATATTGGGAGAACAGAAAACATGCAGTATCTCGTGCGAGCCAGTTATTTAGAAATCTATCAAGAAGAAATCAGAGACTTATTACATAAAGATCAAAGTTTAAGATTCGAATTGAAAGAAAAGCCTGACACTGGTATCTTTGTCAAAGATTTGTCAACTGCTGTGTGCAAGAGTGCAACTGAAATTCAACAGTTAATGAATATGGGAAACCAAAATCGGACCATAGGAGCTACCAACATGAATGAGCATAGCTCACGATCTCATGCGATTTTTCTTATCACGATAGAAATGGGCTCCATTGGTGATAGTGCGGGAATAAGAGTGGGCAGACTGAATTTGGTAGATTTGGCAGGAAGTGAAAGACAAAGTAAAACTGGAGCTCGCGGAGAGAGACTAAAAGAAGCTAGTAAAATTAATTTAAGCCTTTCTGCACTCGGTAATGTAATTTCCGCTCTTGTTGATGGAAAAACCACACACATTCCATATCGCGATTCTAAACTCACAAGGCTTCTTCAAGATTCTCTCGGTGGGAATTCAAAAACTATAATGGTTGCTAATATCGGACCAGCCAGTTACAATTATGACGAAACACTGACAACTCTGCGTTATGCGAATCGTGCAAAGAACATCAAAAACAAGCCGAGAATAAACGAGGATCCCAAAGATGCTTTATTGAGACAATACCAGGAAGAAATAAATCGTCTAAAGGAAAAACTTGCTCAGAAGGGAACAGTGCAACGGAAAAAAAGGAAACCTCGAAGAAAGAAGGAAGATGAGACGGCTGAGACAGATTCTGAGACTGAAGATAGTAGAGAGGACAATAAAATAACAGAAGCTGATAAGAAATTAATAGCTGAACAACTGAAGGCCGAAAAACAGGAAGCTGAAAACCTCATTCTGAGGATAAAAGATCTGGAAAGCAAGATGTTATGCGGTGGTAAGAATATTATAGACCATACAAACGAGCAGCAAAGAGCCCTGGAGCAAAGATCTGCAGAAATAGCAGAACGAAAGAAACGTGAAGTTGAGATGCAACAAAAACTCGAAGATGAGGAATTAACAACCCTAGGAGTGCGAGAAACATATACGACTCTACAACAGGAAGTGGAGGTTAAATCTAGAAAACTGAAAAAATGCTTCACCAAATTACAAGCTTTAAAACAAGAACTTCACGACGTTACCGGAGAATTTAACAGAGATAGAAGAGACCTGGAGCAGACACAACATGAGCTAATGAAGGAATTGAAGTTGAAGTATCTAATAATAGACAATTTCATACCGGTGGAGGAAAAGCATAAAATCTTATCTCGAGTTCGCTTCGACGAGGATGAAGATTGCTGGGTAGTAAAGGACCCGGAGCCAAACAGCATGGAATTGATAAAACGTCCTACTTCAGTTCCTGGTGCAAGAAGACCGATATCAGAGTATGCACGTATAGCTCTAGCAATGGGCCGTGGTCAGCGCTATGCTGGTGAAAATATATTAAATTTAGAGCTCGACATGCCACCCAGGACTACTTTAGATTATCAAGGACCTGCTATAGCGCCAACTATACAAGCTGTCCTAGAGGAAGCTCTACGCGATGAAGGTGACATTGATGTAGACGCTTCGAATACCAGGCTCAGATCGAAGACTCGACTTCAATCTGCAAAAGTTCGACCCAAAAGCGTGGGAAGGATACAACAGATGCCGGTTCCAGTTTATCCGAAAACTAGAGGACTCGTGCCTAAGTAGTTTAGCTTCTTGGTTAACTTAATCTTTATCATTATTATCAAAGACACGTTTTGTAAATATTTACGAACGTGGTTTATGCTTATTTAATTTATTGACGTCTTATTCTTTGTGATACGGTTAACCTGGAGATGGTTTAACTCTAGACTGAATCCTTGTAACTCTCTAGTCAATGTGCAATGTCAGTTGCTTACTACGAGTACCGACTTACCTAACTGCTATAATAAAACATCGTATCGCTACATCGATAACTTTCCGATGCTCTTTTTTAAACATTTTCCAATAAATATGTTCTACTGGTATCATGTTGAAAATTGGAGGATATGGAACTTTGGATTCTGATTTACACGTATCATTTAAAAGATCTGTTCATATATTTGTATCTATCTGTTTTTTATGATACATTCAAATTATATCGTATATTACCTAATTCTAGGCAATAGGTAATAGGATTTTATAATCTATGTCTAACATAACATAATACATGTCATTCATCCGTTTGATTGTATAAAAACGAGTACACTGTTTAGTAGCTTCCAAACGTTTCAAACATCTCAAACATTTATTTAACCGCCAAGTACGCATATTAATAATTAATTATTTATGAATCTGCAGCAAGTACGCTTTTGTACAAAAGTTTAGACCAATATAAAATTCCATTTATACTTTCCCGCAGAATGTAATTCTCGGTTAATAATATTAAAGTAGATACCTGGAAAAAAAAAGTAAGTTTATCTGACAAAGACTTGTCGCACGTTAAATGCTCAATTGTTGAGTTTTCATCAAATAAATACGGGCGATGGGAGTGATGGTTTTTATACAATATTACGTCTTTGTGGGAACAGCCATTAAAAAAAATATCTTTTACTAAAAGTTATTATAAAGATCTGCCTTTATGTGCATTAGAGGAATTTATGTTGTAGCATTCATAAATTTTTCACAATTCACATGGAATTGCACAAAAATATTTTCCAGTTTTCAACCTGGAAATCTTTATCGTTGCTACTTGTGACAAATTCAAATTTTACAACCAAGTCACCCCCTTAAAAGTTATCGACTGAAAATTCATACTATAGCACTAGATGTGATTCCACGATCTAAAACGGAGATCGGTTACCGATGAATTCGCATACTTTGTCCATTTTGTTCTTTCTTTCAATAGAAAGTCACACTATGCATATTCCTTCAATAGAAACGTTGTTGAGTGTAATTTCCGTATTGCTGTTGCTGTTGTTGTTGTGGATATGTTGTTGAAGTACTAGATTGAGTTCCGCTATAGGGTGCTCCACCGTATACTTGCTGTGGATATTGATTAGGCATAGAGGCTTGATTGTATTGGCCTTGAGTAGGCATATTAGAGTATCCCTGATTATAGTTATATCCGTTATTCATGTAGCCAGAATTACTATCAAACATTTGTTGCTGTGGTTGATAATTTTGAAACTGTCCAGGCATTGCTTGATAGGACATTTGCGGTGGAGCTTGTTGAGGTGTTTGTTGCGGGTTCTGTCCATAACCTTGAGTATAAAGATTCGGTATTGTTACGTTTATAGATCCTGGTGGTCCCATATCTGGAATTGCTTGCATTCCACTCAAAGTTTCAATATCTTCCTTAACTGGACTTGGAGTAATGTGACATTTTGGCACATACTTGTTCGGCAGGTCGCCCATGATGTTAGCTATCAATCGTTTAGTCTCATTTAAAATAGCATTGGGATCACTGTTCTTGATGATGTCCTTAGGTTTTGAAGTAGGGGACTTTGTACGTGATCTGGAGGTGGATCTGGAATGGGACCAGGATCTTGGTGAACGTGATCTGGATCTGGAGTAAGAACGGGATTTCTTTTTCGCCTTTTCCCTTTCACTTACATTTTTATCAGCAGCCTTGTAAATGTCTTCGAATGTGTAATCATCGTCATCATCAGAGAGATCGATCTTGGGTTTTGATTTTTCAAGTTCCTTTCTTTGCTCTTCTTCATCCTCGTCCGCAAACATATCCAACTTCGGTTTCCACTTGTTCTCATCATCAGGTGGATTCTGACCACCTTTTCTGGTAGAAAAGGGTGAACTACTTCTACCGGCTCTTGGTATTTCTTCCAGTTCAGGAACCGGCGATTCCGACTTGGTTCGATATGGTATAGCAGTGCCCAGATTGACGAATCCTCGAAGCTTCTCAACTCTGGCTGGATCGGTAGCTTCAATTTTTTTCAGAAAATTAATTAGACCGTGCTGCTCGTCTGTTCCTAATTCTTTGAAATTCTGTAAGAGCATCTTGAGATCCATATCCGAGAGAGTTTCCATTCTAGCTGCTTGTAATTCTGTATTATCAAGCACTGCCACTGGTTTTGGAATTACCACTGGCTTAGGTGTGGTATTTGCGGCAGTAAGTCCTTTCACGAAATCAGCTGTTGTAACCGGTTTATCACTGTGTTTAGATGCTTCTGCCATTCCTACTACTGCATTGATTAGAGTTTCTAACTCATCTTGAGAAACATTGCTTCTACCTTGAGCTACTAGAGCAGCAGCTATTTGTTGAGCTATTGCGACCTTATCTACAGATCCAACACCAGGTACACTCACAGGTTCTGATTTTATCGGATTTACATCAATGGTTCTTGAAAATACAGATCTACTAATGTAAGACATGGATTTTGACATTTCTGCGAGTTCTTGTTGCTTCTTTTTCTCTTCTTCCATTTTTCTCTTATTCTCTGCTGCTTTGTGCAGAAGTTGTGCAATATTCTGCACGGCGGTTTTGGTTGGTGTAATAGCCATTTTTTCAATCATGCCAGCAAACAACTGACCTTTTAATTTCTCTTTAACAGTCTCAAAAAGCACATTTACTTCTTCATCGTACAACAATTCCTCAGCTGAATTTGGTTTCACCTTCTCAGCTGCCAACGCTCTGGAAAGTAGGGATACTATCCTTGGCCCCAGAGAACCAAGTTGCCCCTCTAATGCAGTTAGCAGTCTCAAAAGTCCTACGATCTCTAAGTCTTCTGAAAGAACGTCTTCCTTTGGCGGTGAAGGAGACTTGTCCTTCATACTGTATGAGCCGGAATAATGTCGTGGTCTTGGAACACCTCGTGGATAATAACTCCTATACATATTTCCCCCTCTTCCACGATAATACCCATAATCCCTTTCGCGTATCTCATGTCTCTCATGATAATCAGGCTTGACAGTCTTCGTTCCTACGTATTCAACGTCATCATCACTGTCCCGATGTCTACTTCGCTTGATAGGCGGGGACCGGTCCCGTTTACTAGCAGACGTCCACTTCTCTGGAGGTTTATCCTCCGGAAGTTCTAATCTCTTTCTAATCTCTTCCTTCCGTAGTTGTAGCTGTTCGTTATGAAGCTCTCGCATTCTTTTATTCCAAAACTCGATCCATTCGGGTTTAAAGTCATGCTTACTCGGATCCTTACCTTCTGCTTGAAGTTCCTTATACCTTCTGTTCCAGAATTTTTTCCACTCGTCCGGATAGGAGGGATGCTTTTCAGGATTCTTCTCATGGAATTTCAGAGCGCGATCGAGGGTCTCTTCAGCACGTCTTATCTGATCCCTATATTTCTCCCATTTGTCGCGTTCCTTGAGCGGCTCCAGCGAACGGGAACGGGAACGATCTCGGGAATATCGCGGTTTATAACGATATCTGCTGCTTTTATCGGCGGAACTGCCTTTTCTACTTCTACTGGGTGAACGAGACCTAGACCGCGATGGTGATGGACTGCTTGAAATACTTGACAAGGAGGACAACGATTTTACGTCATCCGATGGTCGTACTGGTGACTTTTTTTGCTTTTCTTCAGATTTTTCCATGCCGCGCATGTCCTTGGTGAGAATACGTATTTTGAATGTCCTAGGAAGTATCGTTGTTTTAATGTGAAATTATGTTACTGTAAAATGCTATTGTTTCTTTTATTTTATAGAGTTCAATGATGGACTTACGATTTATTCACTTCTGGTTTCGGCGGGATCGATTTGGACAGGGACTTTTCTAACTTCTTCTCGTCTTTCTTGAACTTCTCTTCGTGTTTTTCTTCGATGTCTGGTGCGTCTTCACGCAAAATTCCAGATAAATCAAGATAGAGATGACTTTCATATGGAAGCATTACCAAATTATTATACTCACCTTTTTTCGACCCACCAGCCATTTCAGCCATCTTCTCTTCAAAGTCCGTAACCCATCGCATATCGTAAACTTCCATAAACGTTAACTCAGGTGTTTCTCTGCACGTAGGAAACAGCCATAATTATATATGGAAAAGATGAAACATTATATGGGCTATGAGTATCACCGACATTCGAAAAATTTGATACATCAGTAAAAAGAAAATAACATGCCGATAGGCGATGATAAATATTGTTATTATTAAAATTTCAAATGAGCTTCACATAATCCAACATACCTAAAATGAAAATCCTGATAGACTCTTTTGATATACTGCATTTTGTTTTTCTCAAATTGATTTTTATCCACCAACTGAGGTTGCAATCTGCCGAAATGCTCTTCAATCTTTCTCGCGACGCTAACGGATATTTCATTAGCGCCACGTTTGAAGTTCGGGGTTCGTGGCAATTCGGTGATGGCACGCGATATTGTCGGAAAGTGCCGGTTCAGGTACGTAACGCGATGGTTGTAACTCGTAATATGCGCCATGACTGTACGAGGATCACCGCGCTTATCACACAAAACACAAGTGTAGCTTGGCTCGCAGGAGTCATTATCAACCAGTTCAAGGAGGTATTCCAAGCCGACCAAGGGCGAGCTTCTGTGACGATCCAGGCTCACTTGAATGGCCGTCGTCCTGGTCAACTGATCCTCCATTCCCGGTGGGACAGGTTCTCCTGGAGCCAGAACGTCCGGAATGGCTACAGCTGGGGCCGGTGCCGTCTTTTTCGCGATGTCTGACCGCTTCGACCATAACAAAACTGGATAGGGCCATTCATCTAACTTTATCTTGTGCCGATTGCATGAGTTGTGGCTGATCAACTTGTGGGAGCCAAAGAGCGCTATGTTGCATATGTGACACCATATGTCGCCATCATCCGTATGAGAATACACTGGTCTCAATGTTCCATCTTCAGCCGTAACACTGCTTCGCATCAAGCGCTTTCGGTCGTGCTCTTCCTGTTGAAAATAGGATACGTATAGAGCAAACGAACGAGTTTAAGATGATTCGCATCTCCCAAACAACATACAAGATTTTCGTTAGGCCTCGACGTAAACGTTACATGCTAGTCTCATTAAATGAATAATGAGAAATAACGACCGTCGTGAAGACCACCTAACGAATTTCCAAAAATAGATGTTCTGGGATACGCGAAGTCGACTCGTTATCGTTGAGTTGGAACCATCCTCGGCTTTATCATCGCACTATTTTTCTTTCTTTTCCACCCCTCATAACCATGGCTGCTCCAACATAATTCCACCACGGCACCAAACACTGGACACTGTAATACATCATACTATGTATGGTGTACTACACTTATTAATATAAATTAGACCCTCACAATTTGAAAAAGCTTCTAGCTCTTTCTTTCTTTCTTGGATTCTCTTTAAAAGCGAGGAGAACGATACTAATTTCGCATCGTTTATTTATTTGTAAATCGGCGTACACACTAATAGTTCACTGGTTAACACTATCGTATGGTAATTATAATATGAAAGTTTTATGGCATACTTATGCTTTTGGCTCACAACTGTTACCTTTTCCCGTTCCTCTTCGGATAGACGGGAAGGGTTACGTCCCTCGATATCGAGATCGTCGAAGTTCGTCTGCATGATTCCTCCAAAAGCAGAATATCTCTTCCAATGATGTTCTGAAAGCACCCAATTGTAATGAGGAAGCGAACCACATAACCCATCACTTCCTCCGTCTTATGATCATTATTGAATTTTTAGCTTTCTCCGCATTTTGAAATTTCTTAAACCACACTGTTAATCCACAGATTTGCCATTTACTTACCATCTTATCACTTGCATTCTATCATTGTCTATTCATACATGAACAGTAAAAGGATCCTAATTGAGCTTTGCTTTTCTCCTTAAATTTATAAGATACAAGCTGCAATTTTGGAACCAAACCACATTTGGTTTAACCAAGAGCTTAATAAAGTATTTTTAAATGGAAGAATTATATGGGATATATTCAACCAGTGGTAATATAAATTTGGATATACTATATAAGTTTTATTATAATTATGGATAATTCATTCCTGTTATATAAGTTTTGAATTTATTGCATTACGTTAATATGTTTTGAAATCAATAAACATGGAAACAGTTCTTGTATACAGGTAATATAAATTATATTAGTTAAATCAGGGGTTGTCTTTTAATTAATGCTACTACTGACATTATTCATATGTGCTGGAATATATTAAATATTCCAGCTACTTACCGAGTGACTGTAAAATATTATTTTTTATGTATAATTTTACTTGCATAAACACTAGTTTCACAAAAACTCAAAATCAATATCATTGATCTCCACTGGCACAAAATTATGATAATCCCACTTCACGCAAGGACAACTTTTATGTTTGCCAAACATACAAACAAAGTCTAACAACAAAATACATTGTATTTTGACAATTTTAGTTATCGTAACGGTGTGACTAGGGCCAAAACAAACTTTTTCTTCTGAACAACAGAATTTGGTGTGAACAACAGAATCACCAATGTGTTTAAGTATGAATATTAATAAATTATTATGATCCCCATTATTAATAATAGCAAATATATACTATACAATTGAGAATTAAAAAAATATGATGTAGCATGAAGTTATCTTTCAAAATCACATTGACCAAACAACCTGTTATATTTTATCATTTCTTTTAGCACATAGCATACTATTTCCTCACCAATCGGTGATTAATGATAGTACTGTTTACATCAATGAAAGCAATGATTTTGTATAAGAATTCTTACAATTTTTCAACACAAATAATATATTATTATGCGGATCACAATGCCCAAATATTCAATGATTTTTTGGGGTAAAAGATACATAGGAATATCAATTCATTATGCACTGTGTCATCGAATAACAATTAACAAGTCTTTCTCAATAAGATTTTGCGACTTTTTATTGCAAAGAGATAATTGATCATAAAACTACTAAGCATTGCTTGAGGCAGAATTGGCCACTCTTATTTCGGAACATTGGTTAACATTGACAATGGGATAAAAATATCGTGTAAATAAAAATTGGCGAATTGAACGATCGATAACACGACAAAAGGGTCAATACGATCGCCAATACCGCAAATATTTGGACGCAAACAAGATTTCAGAAAATTTATATGTTGCGTCCTTCATCCGCGTGAAATATCTCGAAAATTGCACCTGCGGTAGTACAGTTATCTTGTTCGCATTACATTACAATTTTTAAGTATTAGATAAACACGTTGTTGCACTTACCTAAAAGCCGATGCAAAATTTTGCGAAAGGTTACGCGTTGTGACCTTTATTGTATTTCTTAAAGTAGCTTGCATTAGAGCTCAACCAAGGAACGTACAAGGAAAACCATTCCGTCATTGATGCAATACAAAATTATAAGGGCTCAAGATCGGAAACTCACTTGTGCATACCTGGCACTGTTTTATCGACAGAAACCATTTGCGTTTACCGCTTTGTACACTCAGCATCATTAATGCCTGGATATACCGACTGAGTTTACATATTTAAAATACAAGAATGGGAGAGAGAGACAATAATAGCCATTAATGACGCTGGCTGTACTACATATAATTTATTTTTAAACAGAGTGCAATACTGCAAAAAGAAAAGTTTCATTTGCTTTTTCATATATCGTATAATGTAATCATTATAAAGCAGTTATTGTTCCGTGTAAGATTAGATACTCATATAAGCGCCAGCGCTTGATTGTAGTAGTTTGGATTGGTGGATATCAGATGGCAGAAGAAAATTCATAATTTTCTACTAACCAAAGTCTTGTGTTTCAGCGCATATATAAGGTTGTGGCCTAATATTCCGGCGAGAAAAATGTCCATACTCAATGATAAACTTTATATAGGCAATGGATGCAAAATATAGCAAATATTTTATTATTCTTATTATATGCCGTTTCTAGAGTTTTTGTATGCATTTAATAAAGTATATGCACTATAATGAATATTGCCAAGTATATGTTTTTATCACTGATGCCATTTCTAATTCAAGCATTGGTTCTTGAGAATTCTTCCCGACTAATTATTGGTTGGCTCCAAGAGAAAGTTTTCAAAATGACCAATGGTACAACAATACTTAAATTCGAGCAAGCTATAAATTTATAGTACGATTGAGGAATAAACTCCATGCACTATGAATGAAAAATTCTTTTACTTTTATTTTTATTATTTTCGTGTTTATAATTGTGTCTTATATTTGATCAGTCAATTTATCAAGAATGATTTCTTCTTTTTGATTATTTTTCACTATCATTGTTTATACGGTCCATTATGGGTAACCTATAATATCGTTTCAGTTGAAGTTATTCCATTCATTCGATTTGTATTTTAAAATACTTTCAGTTGGTGCAAACTTCTTGAATAACCCTGTATATAATCTAGCTTACTTGAAATATGGATTCATCGATACATTCTACTCATCACATATTAATATTCTATATTATCCTATATACATAAAGATACACAGTTTCTCCTTGTGATCATCACGTTTTATATTTAAATTATTGTAAGGTCCTGTTCCATTTTTTCACAGATCAATAAATGTAGATATAAAAATTGCATAGGTTCCTGCAAGACAATTGGACAGTAACTTGTCGGACTTATAAGAATTGTTGATTATAATATCATCTTACCTGTAGCATAAAATATAACGGAACAATTTGTCGAGTTCACTTTTCATTCTGCATATGCCGAAAAATTAACGAGTACGACATAATACAAATCCATCAGAGATGAGAATATATTGAAATTCACTTGAGTACATAATTAAAAATATACAATGTTTCTGACTATCAACTCTTGGAGTAGGGGCTTGGTGGGACCTTGTTACCTAGTTTGCACGATACTCTGTGTCAGTGCAAAGACCTTGAGACGCGAAAGATCCGTGAAACTTGAGAGAGGAAGGTCTATGGTGTTCAGTTCGGCCATGACCCTGCGGTGGCTCGTGGTACTTCTCCTGGTGGTTCCTAGTTACGAATGGTCGTCCTTTAAACTTTGGTTAGGAATCAAAGATCCTCCCCCCGTAATTTCCCAAGACGAATCCATTCAGAAAGCCAGAGGTATGTGGGGAAAAAATGACAGATTTATCAATTTGTAGCAGTTTTGTTGATAAATTTATATTGTAAATTATTTTCAATAAAGAAGTAAATAATTGATTATAATTATGTGATATATAATTATTTTTAATTATTTCTCACATATATATCAACTCCTTGCACAAATGAATATCTCATTAGTATTTATAATCGACAACAGCCTTTGTGACAGGTCGAAGTGATAACTACATGATAACTTTTCAAAATAATTTTTCTTCGTAGCAAATGTTTTCTTAAAATTCCACGAAAAGTTTTCGCAATGTAAATTTAAAATGTGACTTTCAAATCTTAATGCACGAACTTTTGCAGTCAGAATTCTCTGCTGTTATGAGTGGCAATGTGTACAAATTTAATCACTGCACGTTAAGGGGATTACTTTAGTAGTGTTTTACGTGGTTGTGATATTGGATAGAGCATTTCTATATTTGCAAAGGAATTCCTGCAACGGCAAGCATCCGCTGTGGCGTTTAAAGTGTTTCTGTATATTTACAGTCTTAAATTTCTTCCCTGTTCCTGTTGAGGAGGAGTGCTTATCGTTAGACAAACGTCGAAAAGGAATATGCATGAACACGTACGAGTGCCGCATTCAACACGGCACGTCTCATGGGCCTTGCGCGTTGGGATTTGGGGTTTGTTGTATATGTAGGTATACTTTAATTTAAACAATGTATTTTTAATAAAGAGCAAGAAGATAACCTTACATAGGGAATTAGTCAGTATTACGTATATTCCAAGATATATATATATATATATGTATATAAATATATATATATATATATATATTATTGTATATACATATATATATATTACAGAGGCGTTCAATCACGAAGGCCTTTACATAAAAACATAGCCTGCATAAAATTTGATGTTGCATCTTGATAAGATTGGATATAAAAACTAACAGAATTTGCATGACGCTATATTAACATTACAATGTTGTAGTTTGAAATATACATTATGATATAAACACTTCAATCAAGCAAGAATCTAACGATATAATTAATAATGATATAGTTAGTTAAGGTCTATAAGGTCCATAAGCTGACTAATTGAAGATTATTAATTTTCTTTTTTGCCCTTCGTTATATAGTCGTATTTGATCATAAATCTATGTGGAATCTTACAGTATCATGTAGAATAAAAAAAAAGTAAATTGTTCGCCGAATCGCTCAAATGAAAAACAGTGGATTCGAATGAAACGGCTCCTTGAGGTACAGTTAGTTAGTAGCCTTTCGGTATCCGCGTCCCACATTGCGTGGAAGAAGTTACGCGATGGAAACTGGATCCGCATCAGGGCCGTGTGTTTCGGGTAGCTATAAAGATCCGTGAATTTATATCGTGTGATAGCCGAAATCGTTCCTTAAATTTTTATGAAATTCAACACAGAAACGTATACATTTTCCGAGTGCAAATTTTTAAAATAAATTCATCCTTAACTGGTCGTCTTTAAGTTTCCTCAATATTTTACGGTGGGACTCGTGCAAACATTCTTCGAGGGATGAGTGAATGGAACTTGGGGATCCCGAATAGGTTGAATACCTCAATGGGAACTCGTTATCAGGATTTCAACTCCGAACTGATCCAGGATGCCTTTCGTGCTTCTCGATCCCTCTTGACCTCCCCGAAGCAAAATCAGGTCAGAATTAAACTCATAATTCTGTACCGTTATTATCGCTTTCATTGTAGTCACTACCAGCTGTGGAGGTGAGATCCAGAATAATTTGACATACGTCACTAATCCAGGATTTCCGAATCTGATTGACCAACCTATGAACTGTTCCATCGCTATTAAAAAGGTTGAGCCTCAAGTAAGCCAATTGAGGATCGACTTCTTACATTTTAATATCGTAAGTTAATATATATTATGAATGTTAAGCTAAGGATAAACAATGTTAAATTAAATTTAAAAGGCCAGTGAGTAACGTTTCGTTTGCTCCAATGGCACGTTTAAGATTCATATTTGCCAAGAATAACTTTTAAATGTATTATTTCCATTAGACGTTCTAGATTTTCACGTCAGGATCCTATGTAATAAATAATAATTGTTCATTACAACAGGGTCAGCCAAATCGTAGGACAGGAGTATGCGACCAAGATAGAATGGAAGTTATAACAGGGAACAAAACTTTTCAATTATGTGGATGGAACAGTGGGCAGCACAGTAAGTATAAAAAATGAAAATGAACTAACATATATCTATGAATATAAGAATCTGTTAAAATTTATTTTCAGTTTATATGGACGTCACGGATGGATTAATGAGTCTGGATTTCCGATTGCCAAACACTTATCAATCTCGAATGTGGGAAATCCGAGTAAGCCAACTGGGATTTGAGCAACGTGCCCCTGCAGGATGTCTACAATATTTTGAAAGTCCAAGCGGTGTTCTGAAAACTCTAAATTATCTCCCTAACGGCCGATTTCTAGCTGAGCATGATCATCTCTTATGCGTACGTCAGGCCCAAGGAATGTGCAGTATATCGTACACTCCTTGTACTGCTGACTCCTTCAGAATTGGTCCACCGAGAGTTGATGATAATGATCAGAGCGAAGGATCAGGAACAGGACCAGAGCCTGATACTGCCAGTAAGCGTTGTCGGGATAGAGTTTTGATACCTTGTGATTTTGAAGAATTCATAACGGTACGCCGTCATACAATTATCAAATTCTTTCAGTCTAAACTTGAACCAGTTTAAAGATTGAATTATTTTTAATAAATTTGCATAGTGATTTCGTGTCGACATTATCTACGTGATTTTCTAATGTATTTTTGCAGCCCGGAAACGACGGTGCTGGTATCTGCAATCTCGAACACTGTGGGAGTTCATTGTGTAGTCCAACTGAGGTTGACGAAGATGGAAGTTGTCGAGTGGAAACTTCGGCAACACCCTTTCATATCAGGGTGGCTTTTGGACCCGGCGAAGACACCGGAATTTCGCCGGAAAATAATGCCGGAATGTGCTTGAGTTACGAACAATTACCTTGCAGTCCTTGAAATAGATTTATTTGTGAAATCTGGATTTGCTGATACGGATTGACAAACGGTTAGTTAGGATGACCGAGTCATTGTTAAATATTGAAAATATTTGGCAATTACATAACACTATACTATATACATCATTTCTGTAAGATATATGACAATAACGTAATAGTTATATTCTCAGAAAAGAATGTATACGACTATTGCACTGCTGTGATTAATCGTGTTTCTCGTGTAATATAGCAGCATTAGAATTGCCAGAAAATAATAACTTATTTCTTGATAATTCTTATAAAAGTTGCTAACTGTTACTATTAATATTACACCAATTGATATTTCGTTTGTGTTAATAGAAACGCAGTTATCTCTACGATTAACACATTAATTCTCGAATATTTACGTATTTTCATAAAAATCCATCTTTGTCACTGTACAATATCTATGTTACGTGTATAAAATGTAAAAGGACAACCTACCTAGTTCAGAATGATTTCGTATATCAAAATCATTCTTAATAATTAATTATTGACGTATCAATATAATTATAGTAGAGATCAATGAACATGGTGAGCGAACGAATGATATAGACAATGATTCAAAGAGTCAAATAGTTTATTTACAAACCAGCTATGTTTATCGTAAACGCAGCGCTTAGCCGGCGGTATAATATATAATTCACCTTTACTTATCATAACTTATAGTAACCGTCGTTAATGACTCATCAGCCAGGTCCTTTAACATCCGAGCATTTAATAACGAGATTAATAGTAATCATAATAAATTCGCAGCCACAGACAAGGCGACGTAATTATAATTAAATCGTGACGACAATTTCATAATGATGGCGATACGCAACGGCAACGATAACTCCGAAATATCATCAAAATGACCTCGTCGTAAGAAAAAGTGATAGCTTAACTACGGAGATTAATCGAAAGGGGCATTTTTCAACTATGTTTAATTCGCTTGTTTTTTTTTTTAAACCTTTTTCCAGCCTTCTTGCTCTCTTACAGGATGTCGTGAGAAAAGGGTGTAACGGCTGTCTCCTAGCATACTTTTTTTTTGTTTTCCTTCATTTTTTATAACATGCGTGACCTCGCGTACGTAGCCTGATGTTTGTGTCGATGTCTTTATGTTTGAATTTGTTAATGTATGTGATCGTAAACGATGCATAAAATCGTGCATACGTGCATGCTAGCCCGCCGCGGATATGGTATATTTTTGTTCTTGCTTTACTTGATTTCTGTTGTTGTTACAGTAGCGATATACTTTGGTCTATTGTTTTTCGCGTGTGCTATCGATCTGAACTTTCAAACCCGTTTGGTTTCATGCCATGTACGCTATCTACAGTTGCTATGACGAAACTGCCGAATTCGACCTTCGGATTTACTCGTGTGCGCATGCTTCAATTTAAATCGTATGATCGTGATAGGATATCACGGCTTAAATGGGATTTTATCATAGGCAATTCGTGTCATCGTGTAAAATTAGGTTTCGCCGTTTTTCTCGTGCGATCGTCTGTAATTAGTGTGTCTTTGGATTTGTGTAGCATTAAATATATATATATTTATATATATTCATGTATATATTATATGTATAAGAGTACGTGTCATGAAGGTGCACTAGGGTGTCGTAGGGGTTGATTATAGAGTAAAGAAGGGCTAGGAATAAAGGAATGACGAGAAAAATAATCGTAATAATGAAGATATCGGAAAAATGGAGCTTGGCATTGTCTAACCTTATATAGATAGTTATATACATATAATTATGTATATATGGAAGGATATGTAAGTTTCGATTGAACGTATTTCTCCGTACAGTTGTAGCAACAACCGCAGATTCATTTGGCTTAAACTTTTTGAATTTTTCTTTTTTTTTGAAAGATCTCTTGCGTATCCCCATTGTACAATAGATTTTTTTTTCAGATTCACTTTCTGTTATGTGATATCCCTGTAGGTCCTTGACATCCCTGTATGCACGTGATATGCCTAAAGTCTATAAGGGGTGAACTTAAGTAAAAAAAAGGAAAAACTTTTTTTTACATTTACTCGTTACGGGACACCTCGAATGTATGATCGAGAAGTAAAAAAAAATAGTAAATAATGTATTTATCATAGAAAATACATGACACTCCAATGGCAGATCATAATATATTTTTTTCTTAAAATTGTTAGGTTTTACTGTCAAGCTCCGTTATTCCAAAAATGACATAATTTTTGCAGTCACGACACGTAGGAATGAGGTTTATAGGAATTTTATGTAATTAATAGGGCTTTAGAAAGAGGCGTCCGATTGGTCCCGGCGGCATCAGGGTGCGCAATAAGTGAAAGGGTTAATTACATGAGTCCGCAGTCGAATTAATTGATAGTAAAGTCGTTAACGAATTAGAGTAAGAATGAATTGATATAGAAAAAATGTTTAGAAAATGTCTGAAAAAGGGAGATGAATAAAATACTGCTCACAATGTTTCCAATAGAATTCTCCATCTGTTTTTTTAAACCACAGTCTTTACAAAATTCGACTGGGACAGTAATGGTGTGTTAAAGGATTTTGGGATAGCGTATTCGTGTGAGGAATTCGTGATTTCGTTACGAAGACTTTTCGTGTGATAGTGGATTAGAGGTTTGGTCAAGGGATGGGTGTAGGAGAGGGACAGTGTGGGGTCATAGGGCGCTACACTATGATTGTGATCGATCGAAACGTTTCTGTTTCCTTTATACTCAAGAGTGTAGGGTCAGTTATCCTGATCTCGAGAGTATCCCTGATCATCTCCTGTGATTCTTCCTCTACGTCAGAATTGGGTAAACTAATCGCGAGGCTTTTTTTCATTAAATATAGCTGTGAGGGACGCCTTTGAAACGAGAAGAGAGTGGAAATTAAAATCAACAAGAGAGTAATAAAAGCAATAAAAGAAAGAAGAGAAACAAAGTGACAATGGATGAAGGCAAACTCATCTATACGAAGCCTTGCGAAAAATTTGTCCATTTCTGATTCGCGAAGTTCTTTTTCACTTTTTCGGTTTCTTACTTTCGTCCTTATTTTTAAGGCTGCTTTTCCTTCTCTCTCTCTCTCTCTCTCTCTCTCTCTCTCTCTCTCTCTCTATCTATCTCTAATTCTCTCCAACTTCTTTCTTTTTCTTTCTCCAACTTCCAGTCGTAAGAGAACTCGACGCGTCACGGGCAGTGGAGATTTATCCGGTATAGATTTTCTGTTAGCCCAAGCCTCCGGCTGTCTTGGTCCCGTTGGTTCGCAAGTTAGAATTCCTCCAGTCGTCCTCTAGAACCCAGCGGGGAAAAAAAAAGAAGAGCTAGAGCCATCCGGTCGACCAGCCATTCCGATTCCCCTCTTCTGTACACCCTCCATACCCATCATCATAATCCTGATCCACCTTTAAGCACACCCTAGCGCCACCCGATCTTCAAGGGCACCCTAGTGTTGGGAGTTGGTTAGGAATTTCTTACAGCATTGCGCATCAGTATCGTTGTACTCTATTCTAAGACTCCAACTTCTAACTCCTAGACGCCAGATATATAATCTACACGAATATTTACATCGACCATTTCTACCGACGTTATACCAACACTAGCTTACCCTCGACCAACTTTAGTACGTTCGGTAATAAAGCCAGCGTTGTGTCGAAATAGCAAGCATTGCCGAAGCGCGAAGTTTGAAATCAGTAAAGTCTTGAAATTGATTGGTCTTTTTATTTATAGAATTAAATAATCCTCGAAAGCATCGGATGTTTGTTAATTTTACGTAAAGCACGTAATAGTGACTTGCTGGTAAATATAAATTCAAAGGATATAAAAGTCAATTACGTAATTAGTAATGGCATTATTATGAAACGTACCAAATGGCCGATAGCCCGTGTTTATTCCTCCAGCATGCTCTTACCTGCTTTCGCTGCAAACGGGTCCTTGGGATGGTTGGTCTTGATGGCGTTCATACGTCTATTTTGAGCTGCAGGGGGTTCACCCCCACAGTCCCCCGCCCCCGGGGGTAGGAGGGCTACCTGCTGTCCACAAGCTGGCTGGCCAGAGCCAGGCCCACCGACCCCCGGGGCCCCGAGTGCTCTGACCCGGGGTTGCTCCACCGGAAGCACTCGACGTCTCTTCTTCGGAAGCTTCGCTCGCGCCTGCGTGTGACTGTAATACATCGCAAAGTTGCTGACGATCACGGGCACCGGCAGGGCGATTGTTAGGACACCAGCTAGGGCGCAAAGGGCACCCACGAACATTCCCACGTAAGTCTTCGGCACCATGTCCCCATAGCCGACGGTGGTCATGGTTACCAAGGCCCACCATAGACCCAGTGGTATGCTCTTGAAGTCGTTCTTCGGATTGTATTGGATACGCTCCGCATAATATACGAGACTGGCGAAGATGACGATGCCGAGTACTAAAAAGAACACTAGGAGGGTGAGCTCCTTGGCGGAGGCTCGGAAGGTCTGGATGAGAATCTTCAAGCCTGAGGAGTGTCGGGTCAGCTTGAACAGCCGCATGATCCTGATGATGCTGAAGAACTCGAGGATATCGGCGTTCTCAAGATGCGAGGCGAACTTCTGGAGCGCCAGGTCGATGTAGAAGCTCAAGGTCGCAATCATGTCAATTAGATTGACGGAGCTCTTTATGAACTCGCACCGATTTGGACTTGCGATTATTCGGATTAGAAATTCCAGGGTGAACCAGGCGTTGCAAACGCACTCGATGTAGAAGAAGGCATCATGGGCGTTCGTGTGCGTCTTGTCCAGTGCCCAATATGTAACGTTGGCGCTTTTTACCGTCTTGTTTATTATAACGGGGACGCGCATATCCGGGTGCGTCTTCAGGCAGAAGGACAGGATCGAAACGCAGATGAAGAAGACCGAAACAAGTCCGATTATCTGAAAAACGCAGCGAGAAACAGTTGGTTAAGTTTCCCTTACGGGTTATACCAGGATTATTACTAGATTATTTTAAGACGTCTGTACTTCACAATGCTAGTGAGATAAGATGTCGTTAAAGTTATTTGAACAAAAATTACTCAATTCAATTAATTTTTAATCCACAGCACAACTTAGAATATATAATGTAAAATTTAATTTGACGTACAAGGAAAATATATATTATAGCTCTATCAAATATTTTGCGATTACTGCAAAATTTATTTGTTTACTTATTATACATACTTGTTTGCAAAAATTAAATTGGGAATTTGTAGATTAAAAATTGCCTGTATTATTCGCTTGTCAGCGTAATACAATTGAACGAACCTTGGCAGCATTCGAGGAGTACGGTTCATCGAACAAGGACCACATTTGTGGTTTAAGCTTCTGCCACCAGGATAACGAACCGTCGTAGTAGGCCTCCTCGAATCCAAATTTTCTAGCCAATTCTTCATCGCTTGGCTTTTCTGTATCCAAGTCGAGTCTGTCTAAAACCGCTAAGGTCTCTTGCGTGTCTCGGTGCTAGGAATAAAAATGACGATTAACATACAATTCTGGCCCTAGTCCAGAGGGACTAGAAAGTGGTTCGCAAAAGAAGTTACAATATTCATATCTGGCTCCTTTGAAGATTCCTTGCCACCCCTGGGTTAATCGAACCTCCTAGGAACTGCAAGGACCTTTGAACCAGATTCAGACATTCATCATGCATCACGCTTTGGTATAGTTAAAACTTCAGATACGAGCTATGAAATACAGAAGGAAAAAAAGATAATAGAAAGAAAGGAAGCAAATGTCAATTTATTTCACTCTCGACGATCCTTGATATAAAAAAAAATACAAAATCTGTACTCATTTATGTTCATCTTCCAAGAATCACTGAACCATCCAAATTGATTGTCAATGCACAAACAAGTGACTCAGCGCCCTTTAATTATTAACAATTAACAAGTTTGCGTGACGTAAGAAATAAGAACGTTTGCAAGCCCTGATCTATTTTCTTTCTGGAACGAGCAATCGATAAAATGGGCACTGCGTGTGTGGAAGACAACCTGCCAGACCACAGTTCGCTGGAGGAAATAAAATAAGTTTACCTTAGAAAATTAGATCAGATCAAGATCGTCCTCATGGTCCAAGGACAAAGACAATTCACGTAGATTCGGTCAAGTACATTGACTGCGTGAATCTTTGAAAGAAGTAATCTGCCGAGATATCAGTCGCTTACCAAACATCGTCTTCTGATATGCTAATATATACCCAGGGGAAGAATCAATGACTACCTACTTCATTCCGTATACTAATTAAACTCTGACTCTAATTAAAATCTAATTACAACCAATGTCGGATCACGTTATACCAGTTGAAGTTTGGGAATTTAGAACCTAGTATCGGGGTCCGTAATGAATAGTCCAAAGGAAAACGATAAGTTATCCATAAAACCAAAATTTAAAATAAAATCTCGTATAACCCTCGACAAATTGAAATTGATAATAAACGTGATTTCAGGTCAGAATTTGTTCGTTAATAAGGAATCCCGAGCTAGATTACTAGCTAACCGACTGGTGACGATGTGATCGAACCGAACCAAACTGGTCCTTAGTGGTCAAAACTTTTTGGACGGAAGCTTTTTATAATCACTGGACGATAATTACTCATTAGAATATCGTACCTGTGTGTATGTCATCCAACAGCATGGTTCCACCTGGTTGGAGTCCAAACCCCAAAATTCGAGTTCCTCCTCGAATAGTGGACCGCAGACATCGGTCGGGTAATGAAGTTTCCCCGTCCGATAGTAATTGAGTACCTGGGCGAAGACACCAGGGTGCCTATCGAAAAAGTACTCGTTCAGGATGGGATCGTAATTCGCCAACGCTTCCGTGAGACGTGAGAGTCTTGTCGCCGGGATCTTCTTCAAGGTCGCTTTGTACGTCTCGTGCCGTATACCACCCACGTTCAGAACCACGCGGTTCTCCGCGTCCATGTTTATTAGATTCATTTTGACCACGGCTCTGCTACCGTTGGCCCCAACTGGAACAATAATAGCTGCGGTGAATGCGGACTTTTCAACTCTCGATGTACTCGGTAACATCGGGATGACGATTTCGTCTTCTAAAAAATTCAATTCTTCATCCTGGAAAGTGAAGATGGATCGCTTGTGTCTCTTGTGTCTACGTGGAAACAACCCTTGAATATTTCATACCGCGTAAACGCTTTCTCAGTCTCGGACTCTTTTCGTGCCGCTACTTTCCTAGGTTAGCTCCATCTGCGTTCCCTTTTATCTTACGAACCCTACAGTTCCCATCCCACGATACCATCCTCCCCCTTAAGTACACAGCGACTTCTCAGGAAATTCCGAAACTTCGTTCTGTCTATCCAATAATCCTTGACCAATACCGAAATAGCAAGGCGTCCTAGCAATATAGCCAATAAACAGCTTCCATTATTCATTGGATTGTTACCAAATATGTCTTTACTATGTCGAATAGTATTCCGATACTTTTTCATTAAGCTAAATTTACGCATGGTCGTCAGAAAAAAAAACCCATAAGAAAAAATTAAAGCAATTTCATCATTTTTAATATCACCGCTAAAGGAAAATTTTTTATTAAAAACTATCTTCGCGCGTAATAGTGATTTACAATAATTATTTCACTGATCTAAAAAGTACATTAGATTTGTCGATATAACGTGAAAAAGTACATTTTTGCGATTCAACATGGAGCACAACGCGCAGTGGCGATCGAAACGGTATCTGCTCACCCCCCCGGTGACGTCACACATCGTGCAGGCCAGCCGCGAGAATCGATAGGCTGCGTGCACGCACGCAAGGTCTACCGATAAGCACACTATCATCGTGATTTCCGTGACACTTGTGCCAATTGATCAGCTGGATTAGCGTCGCGACGACACCGTAGGAGAAGAAAGAAGTGGTGGAAAAGAAGAAACCATGGAAGGCGACGTCTGTCGGAAGGGTGTGAGAGGTTAAGATGTAAACAGTCCTGGGTCGAAAGGATTGTTCACTATTAGATGTAATATATGGAGTTACGGTTGACTTCCACTGTCACGATATTCGTGCGATTCACAGTTTCGTAGTCGTGAGTAAACAATGTATTTTCGAGGAATTCAAGAAAGGAACACGCACCCCTAGTAACGGTCGGAGGGACAAAAGGGTATAGGTATAGAAAACAGGAATTGCCTTGCTAACCCTCATATATGAAGTAATAATATTGCAAGTTCAGTCCCGAAAGTAGGGCGAATATAGGTTAGGGTGATCAGAGGCCAGAAAAAAAACCATAGAGCAATATGGTCTAACGTAGCACGCGAACGTCGAACAGGTATAGAAGGAAAAATGAAGGTTTAATATAGAATATTCTAGTGTCTATTAATATTGAGTTTGCCCCGTGGCGTCAAGATCGTATTACCACCATAAAGAAGAAAAAATTGGGGGTGGTTAACGTGTCAGACGCTGAATATATAGGCTACGGTAACGACAAGCAGCGCAGGATAACAAAGAATTGATTGAGAAATAGAAAAATTATAAGTTAATATAAAGTATTAAAAAATATGTTATGTACTTTCGGTTTTGTGGCATATTTACGAACAAGACCAGAATTTGAATATTGTGCAGGTAGCAGATACACAGGACACTGCCGTTAAAAATTACTGGAACAATCACCAGGATAAACGATAACGGTGTCTTCCACCAGGAACCATATTTATCCAATAACGAATCTATGCTTGAAAGCCAAAGAAGTAGATCAAAGGCAGGGATGAAAGGGATTCTCAAGGCACGTCACCCACCCTTGTCTCTTTCATGTCTCACGAATCCTCCGCGACATCTCAGCGGTTCTGGCTCTTCTCCATTTCGAGATTTCTTCCTTGAGGTCGGCACGGCACGAGACCTCCACCAGGTCAGAGTACCGGCTTTAATCGTTCCCGAGATCCCGTACGATCCAGGCACGTAGTGGCGGCCAATACGCGGCGTCAAAGAAGAGGAAGACGTCGCGATGCCTCGTTTATAGCTGATTGGGTATCATCCTTCCTGATTATCGTCCACTAAGTGTCCCATTCGGGGGTACTGATAACGCGAGCAAGAGAGAACGACACAGGATCACGAGGGGAGGATAGGCACGTCCAAGGAGAGGCGGTGGTGCTGATGATGGTGATGATGGCTGGTCTAGGTGGAGACGCGACGCGGCCTCCGGTTGAGCGCAGACTGAACTGACCCCGAGTGAAAGAGACGCCGGGGGCAGAGGACGAAGAGCGCAAACTCACTAGCGTCAACGACGACGTCAACGTCGGCGATACACTTCTCTCCTCTCGCACCACCTCTTGCCCTCTTTACTCAAATCGTCTCTCCAATCATTCCTTACACGCTGGTCCTTTTCAATACTCGCTAACGTACCTTGCCAGTTCTGAGGTCGCCTTTGGCATAAACCTTTTTTCTTTACTTTGTATGAACTTCTCGATCATTTTATATATATCGTCCGACTATATTGAAGTTCTCATTGATTTATGCCTGTAGGATGAGTTCAGTGACATTTCCGACGAATTGCAAGATATTTCCGCTTTAAATGTCATTATAATTACTGAATAATCAGTTTAATGATCAGTGACCTATCAAAGCATTTCATTCGACAGGTATTCATGGTTAGTCTGAAAAAAAGTAATGATAGTATCAAATATACGGTATTTTTGAATCTTTCAATTTTACGATGAATTCACTGTTATCTTTTCCTTTTTAAGTGATTCATATGTGTATTTCTGGATATTTCAATTTTACAATAAATTCGCTTTTATGCTTTCTTTTTTAAGTGATTCATGTGTTGCCTCCTTCCTTTATCTTAAGCGAATATTTCTGCTTTCGATTGACGCCATATTTCATTCGTCTCTCTCGTCTTCGATCAACCATTTGTTACTAGCTATTTCTCTTCTAATCTCCCGAAATTCAAAAAAATATTGTCTACCATTTTCTTCAGGTTACGAGACGAGTATTCAAATATCTCAGGCACATAATAATTAAACACAGACGCGCTAAATCGATAAAATGTTTCATGTATTTTAGCAACTAATTAATTTTCCTTCTATTCAACATCAAATTCTCTCTAAGGCTAGTCGCTTGTTCAGAGATTTCTATCTAGCTTAATTTTCTGTAAATATTCAAAAGATACTATCTTCTCTTGCCAGTCAAATATTATTTGCGAAAATGACATCCCAACCATGCGGAATAATTTAAACAGGTTTATGTACTTGCCTCTTAGGTATTTCGAATTACCATGGAATTTCTTTAAGACTTTCGAACTTCTGGAGCGTGCAAAACTCCTTCGGATCAATAAAGTGTTAAGCCGTTGTTATATGTCAAGACTATCCAACATCATTAAAATATAATTATCGATCCGTACATAATAGTAAACACGCATCAGCTAATTCCGAACTGCAGTTATTATATAATTCCCCTGCAGTTTCAACAAAATTTCCCATCTTGTTTCGTACAGTAAACACATATAAGTCTGACAGTGCAGCAATTCGAATGATTAATTAATAGCGTATCAGTGCCATCACCTAATTCGTGAATAAAAGACGATGATGATCATCATTATAAATACAGCCTCGAAGATCGATACGGGAAAACAAACGATTTCTATTACGTGATGAGCTAAACTGGGTCGTGTTTAGATTCGACGCAGCATCCGTATCTGTTAGAGATCATTGAATTTAAATTGCAATAAACCTTTGTAAGTGTACTAACCAGAAATTTTGAAATTAAAACAGTCGTATCATCATTGTCATAATCGTTAATCAAAATCGCTTAGCATAAGCATACATACTCGGAGCACCTTTAGAATTTCTAAACACTGCATAGTAACCCGAGCGTACTATTATTGAAAAACCAAAGAAACTAAAATCCCCAGCAAACTTCTAAGATAACATGTCTCCACTTTGGAACCCCTATATTAATTACGAGTAATTAACGTCTGTGGACAGTCCTTCAAGGGGGAAAAAGCTAGCGTCGCTCTCAACCAAGAGACAAGTGTAGAAACGACAAGTGGTTAGACAGAGCGGGTAGTATGGGGGGTGCAGGAACGGACGCAGGAAGGACATGGCAGATACGTCACGGGACAGGAAGAAAAGTGACGAAAAGATGATGAAGTAAAAGAAGAAGGAAAAACTAATCAATCTCGAATAGTTGACCAAGTCCAATGTGCTGGAAAGAGACGGATGGAGGGTTGAGGTGGATGAGTAGAGACTATGATGACGCGTACACAGAGGTACGCGGCCACGTTACGTCAGGTTTACCGGTTGAAAGGCAGTTCGAAAACGCGATGGGGATGGGTAGAGGGTGAGGCCAGTACTCCTGAGCAAACGAAGGGACGGTCGATGAGACGCCTGCGCCGTCGCGACCTCAACTTTTAGCCGCAGCGTCGAACTTTACGTATGTACGCAGCACGCTCCACTCAAGAAGCGACCTAACAGTGACGCTGACACTTGACAAGCGTGGCTATCACGATGTTCCTTTTCTAATATAGTAGTTACTCCTTTATACTCTTTCTTGAATATCAGACCTACGAACATTCTCAGACTCGTGAAAATCGCGTATCTTGGCTTTACTGCGTATCTCGACATCTCATCATTTTCTTGGCTCCTTTAAACCGGGAATAGTCGATTTTATTCTTCATTTGAAAAGCATTGAGTTGGGACATCTCAGACACTCCACTCACCTATTCCCAGGTTAACTGAATTACGTTAAGATTTGCGAAGAGATGCTTTTTGTTAGATTAATTTCTTTCTTTTTCTTCACGAACTTTTTATTTTTCGGAATGGCGAATAGGACCAATATAGAAATCCGGATACAGGTTTATTTCTTGTTTATTGGGTAAATATGTCGGGTCACTTTGTTTTCGATCACGAAGGAGTTTGCTCGATTTTAGCTCTTTGATCGTTTCTTTGAAATTCCATTAAGCTTCCTAATCGTTCTGAAAATCTGCTTCCACGAGTAATTTCTCTGAACTTAATTACGCGCTGGTTTAAACTTAGGTTTCTTTATTTGAATTATATTTCTTTTTTCCTAATTCTTATAGGTCATGAGTTTTCTTTCTTGTTTTGTGGCGATGGCGTTATTGACTCCTGTGTTTTATTGAATTTTTCATTATCGTGTTAATGCTTTCAAAGATTTTTTGTGTTAGCGAGCGACATATTAGGTTGAATGAAGGCAACATCAGATTTAGAAAATATATTTGGAATCATATTGCAAAACATATGTTAAGGTGTGAGGAATCATAATGGTAAATTTGAAGGTAATAAAAGACGATTCAATCTTTTCATATTTTATTTGCGAAAATTCAAAACAACATATTTTTAAATTTCTTGCAAGATCGTAGGCGTCAATTCCGAGCCAGGATGATGATCTTGATTCGATTCGATCTTAACTGTCTCAAGGTCCGTCTGCTGAGTTTGGAAATTATTGAAATTATTATTTTCCAATTCGATTGAATCCTTTATATCTACAGAGGAATCTTGATTTCGTTGGGGAAGTGCAGTCACTATACGTGGCTACGAGAACATTTCCAAATGAAATTCAACGTTTCCATATATAACAATTTTTAACATAATTTTGAAAAATAAGCCAACCTGAAGTTGTAACACGGCATCCAAACCTACAGTAGCTGCTCGTGGTGTCAACGGAGTAATGATCCTTGGGTTTGATGATGTCATTTCTGATTCCAAATTATTATTGTGCTTGCTCCTACGAATCCTGCGGGGCACCTCGGCTGGCAAAACTCTTCTTCTTTGTTTTGGAAGCTTACTTCGCGCCTGAGTGTGCGAATAGAACATGGAAAAATTGCTGACGATTACCGGAACCGGAAGCGCTATAGTCAGTACTCCAGCTAGAGCGCAGAAACCACCAACGAACATTCCCGGAAATGTTTTTGGTGTCATATCACCATATCCCACGGTTGTCATGGTAACCAGAGCCCACCATAAACCCTGTGGAATACTGTTGAAATCATTTCCTGGATTTTCCTGAAATATTCAGTAATCCTTATGAGAGATAAAAAACATTCAGCCTTTATTATCGATTTGCGATATATCTCGAGTCATGTTCAATATATATTATTCATGCTATTGTCTTACCTGTAATCGTTCGGCATGAAAAATAAGACTCGCAAAGAGAACAATACCAAGGATCAGAAAAAATACCAGCAAACCCAATTCCCTTGCCGATGCTTTGAAAGTATGTATAAGTATCCGAAGTCCTGGTGAGTGTCTCGTTAACTTGAAGAGTCTCAAAACTCGAACGATAGATATTACTTCTAAGTAAATATTAGACTCCATTAAGAATTCGGTGTAGAAACTTAAAGTTGCAGTCAAATCTATTATATTTACTGGTGATGTAGCAAACTGTCTTAAGTTTGGGCTAACCTGTAACACAGCAAAGAAAAGTTGCAAATGTAATTTGAGTCTAGGCAAAAGGAAAAAGAAGCTATTAACAAAGAATAATTTTCCCTAAATTTAGATAATTATCAAAATTATAAAAACAGACTGAATTAATAATTTGAAAAGTAAACTTTTTTTTTTCAAATTTCTATAAAATTAATTAGTTCTATAAAATTAAGTATTTCGTAATCTTACAAGACAGCGCAATATAATTTCTATTGTGAACCATGCGTTACACGCGTGTTCGATGTAATAAAATACGCGATGAGGTCTTGTTGTTTCTTCGACATCTTCCTCCCTGGCAATCTGATGCATATCGTTATCCGATTCGCGCAACGCTTGGCTGGTTTTTAAGCAAAACGAAAGCACGGATAGGCAGATAAAGAGAATTGAGATGCCGGCTATCCATTTGGCCAATGGAGTTGAATAGGGCTCGTAAAATACGGCCCAAATTCGAGGACGAAGTTGCTGCCATTTAGAAAGACTGCCACGCGCATAGGCCTCCTCGAAACCAAAAAGCCGAGCGATTTCCTCGTCGCTCAGTCTCTCTCCATCGACGTCCAATTTATCCAAAATGGCCAGAGTCGCCTGAGTGTCCCTATGGATGCTGTATGTGCTCCAGCAGCACGGTTCGACCTGCATGAATAAGGACAATCAACGAGGTCTTTGTTATTTACGTTAATACGGATTTATACTCTAATTATTTTATAAATATATAAATTAATAAATTCATGAAATTTATCTTTAGGATATGTCATATTAGAATGACTCAAAATCATTCACACTTATTAATGGTTCTACGATTCAAATATTTTTGTAACTGTTTTTTAACATTTTGCAAGATGATCAATGAAACTTTTCTTTATATTTATACATATATTTCCTTTTTTCATATTTCTTTCCCTTCCGTGAATCTTACACGAATAATTTTTGCCTAGGACGTTACCTCATCCTCTAGGCGTAACAATTCCATATTAAAACATCAAAGAGAAACTGCTTTATGTCTAGATTGTTTGTCCTTCTTCTTGTTAACGTCGAATAACACGCGAGAGCAAGATCATCAAAGAGTTCGGTATTTCTGTTATAATGTTTTTTTAGGTTAGTTTATTCTTCCGTAATCTCACGTATAACAGAAAATCTTGGACGAGACTTAATGCCGCGGATGGTGGTTATCCGATAAGGAAATACAGACCTCTTCCGCGTTACCTATACAATCTATAGAAATGGCGCAAATAACAAGTTTAAAATACATTTCAGGAGATGCAACCATTTATGACCACGCTAAAACGTTAATGTCGGATCTTTACGAGCAGCGGCGTTGTTGTGCGGTTAATGTTTAGACCGGATTGAAATAGAACAAGAACTGCAAGGCGTTTCGTTAAATACCCACCTACCTAACTACCTACGTACAACCATGTTTTAAGGATCAGATTGGTTTAAGAAAAAAAAAAAGAACTTTAGGACACTTTTGATAAGTAGGAATTTTTTCTACTCAAAAATAAGTCGGCTATCTCGTTTAGTTTGTTTCGTAACACAATAGCTAAATACATGCCGTTTAAATCTGAAAAGCGTCATTTTGTTCTTCGTGACAAGTAGATAAGTATTAACGTTTAAAAATATTTCAAACTTTTAAATGACGAATGTAGCATTGTAATGTAGTATCCAGTTCTTGACCACCACCCAGTTTCTGAACCGATGCGTGCATTTTGAATACAAGGAAACTTTAAGAAATCTTATGGCGGTTAGAAATTGGGTTTATAAAGTTACTACATCTTAGCTAAAAATTGTTAAAGGGTCAGAAATTGAGTAGCTTTACGTTATAACAATTTTTAATTTTTTTTAAATTTTAACAACTCTTAATCGTTGATGATTGTACATTTTTTCGAGATTAATTGGTAATTGCATAAGGATGATGTTGTTTATACTTATATCCGCTTAAGTTCTATTCAGCCTTTCATCGTTTCAGGAACTTCTTGTTATCATTCATGCTATCGATTTCCCTTATATTACTCTCCCTTTATTGCTTGGTTCTGCCACTCTGCTATAATATTAAAGTTCGTGATAGAAGAGATAGTAAATCTCAAGGATTATTACATCTTATCGCCTTCACGTATTTAATTTAGCGTTTAAGAAAATTGTAAAAAATATAAAAAATCTTAAGTGTTTTCCCTTATTTTTTTGTCAATGATACAAGAAAATTCAATTTTCTTTTCAAAATTTAGAAACAATTCGATCACTTTTGGGCTTCAGTGCGAAAACCCATAGGAATTTACTGAAAAGTAAAGTGTGAAGTTTTTTTTTTCACATACCTGATTGGAATCCAAACCCCAAAATTCAAGTTCCTCTTCAAAAAGTGGACCGCACACGTCCGTTGGGTAATGAAGTTTTCCTGTACGGTAATAATTAAGAACCTGAGCAAAGACTCCGGGGTGTCTGTCGTAGAAGTATTCGTTGAGAACAGGATCGTAATTTACGAGAGCTTCCGTTAAACGAGAGAGTCTGGTAGCCGGGATTTTCTTAAGGGTTGCTTTGTACGTTTCGTGTCGTACGCCACCCACGTTGAGAACGACTCGATTCTCCGCATCCATTTCTTCTTATTTCGCTAATTTCTTACGGAATTTGTTATTGGAAACGACGCATGTTCTAAGTCTCAATCATGGAATCACGTTACTTGCTCAACTATGATGTAAGATAAAAACAAACTTCTATGTTTGAAGAAGCCAAAAAAATAAGCCGATCTTCTCGATCGACACACACCCCTGTCAGCTTAATCGTTGGATTGCTTAATTCAACCAAGTATTTATCCTTTAATCAGATTTCCTCGAAGCGATCAGTGTTTTTAAAATTATTAAGTCATTCCGATATCAGATGTAGGATATCGGATTAATCAAAGAGCAAATCAAGTTTTTTTTCGAATCATTATTCCCTCTGGTAGGTAGAGTGAATTATCAATAAAAAGTATCAGAATCCGTATATTAAATTTTATATACTTATACTTGTAATAATATAGTCACTAAAACTGGTTTTTGTTATTATCACTAATATACATAATTTTGTCCGTGTAATTTTTTTTATTTTCAAAATTCGTCCTAAACCGTGTGTTCTTCTTATGAAAATTTTCAAAATTCTACATGCGACGCGATTGGTTTGCGCGTGAAAATCGCACTAACCGTCCTTTTGGTTTGCACGCGTAATCCATTGGTCCGTGGCTCCCGCCGTGACTTCAGCTTCTATAAATTCGTCGGCGTTTATTTTTACAGTAAATACAGATGGCGAACGTGCCGTAGTTTTACGATTAATAATTCTTTCTGAGTTCATGCCGTTCAATTCTTTATAGGTTTGCGATACGCCCGCTCTCTGCTCATCAATATATCCACAAATAGTTGCTAATTCATCAATGCCACGCTAGCTCACGATATCTCCGTTTGCATACCGAATCTAAATTTCACTTAGCCTTTCACCTTTTGTCAAATTTGTTGGAATTGCATTGCAGGTACTAACTTCAGAGAGAACAATAAGACTGCGACGTTAGAGGGATTCTGAAGCAAATGTACATTTGTAAACAATACATTTAATTATGAACCATTTTATATTATATTTAATAATCATATTGATTTGATAGATGCTAACCTTTAATTGTGAGTACGTTAAATTATAAAATTTGAAGGAAAATTATTTTCAACTTTTCAGTGCAGTTTCGAAAACTTATACCTATCCGAAATCGATCGATATCATTCAGTAAATATCATAAAAATGGATTAATTAAATTGTCGCGTTGGACGATATAATTATGGAATTCCCCCACGAAGCATTCGGATAAATTCTCAGGTTCGCGTTTCGATCGGTAGGTAAGCACTTATCCCACCCAGTAATTCCAATAGAAGAGAAGTAAAACACCAGGAGTCCTGTTCATATCAGAAAGAAAATATATCACAGACACGAACCATTTTTAACGTAAAGTTAATAAGAAGGAGGTCTTACTTATCGACTCCGTCGTCATGACAACGCTCGACTGGTCCAGAGACGCACGCGCTCGTCGTAACGACGACAATCCACCGTCGACGGTGGCGCTGGCTTGGATCTCGCGTAGGCGTCGCGGTGTGGACGCCGCCCGTTGTCTTCCTGATCCGTGGCGTCGGTCGCGTCGTCTTCGTCAGTCCGTTTGCAAAGTCGCGATACACGAAACGTTCAAGTAATCGACAATCCCAAGGAGACCAAAGTCAAGGGATCACAGAACAGGAATTCAAGGGACCGAAAGGTGGAGCTCTTACGAATTGGTAGAGAGAGAGACAGAGAGAGTGAAGAAAGTGTGATCAAGAAAAAGAGAGGAGAGAATAGGTAAAGAGTAATCACGAGTCAGAGAGAAAGTTGACAAGAGAGAATTACACAGGGATAGAAAAAGAAAGAGCGAGTCTTCATTGAGACGTAACGTAACACGTACACCGTATAGTAACGTAACGTAACGAAAGTGCGGCTGCTACGAGATACATGGATGAGGATGATACGTCGGGGTCGACCACCGTCTACATAGTGTGAATCTCGGTGGGCCCCGTTCGAGTGGGCCCCTAGAAAAGGGCCGATCGATTGGGGCGCGGTCCCGTCGGCATGGCCGGGGCCCCGATTTCGGGGCCCACCGGGCCCCAAGGCATTAGGAAGCCTGCTGAGATTGCCATAGACCCGAGGAACCTTCAGGCTACCACGACTACAAATCTTCGCAATGAGAATTTCCTCGTCGCCAGGTCCACCAACGCCTTTAATCCCCAGGTTAGAATTATAATGGCATAGACCCGTTCTGGTGCATTTGCTTATCATATTTTGTACTTGCACCGTACTCGTTTTTCGTTACCTGTACCTAGGTAGCCTAAAAAGTTGTGTCTATGTCATCGACAGAGATTTCCTCGAAAATGCGCAAGACGTTAAGAGGATATTTGAAAGTAACTTCTTAGCCGAAACTGGAGACGTTAAATGTACTACCCTCGAGTCCCTTATATACATATAGTTGAAACATTTATTTACAATTTGCGTGTTACTTATTTCATCCTTTCATTATCCCGTATATCATTGCACCCTTATGATTAAGCCATGTTTATATGAATTTTTTGATTTGCTTATAATGCACGTTATCCTGTATCCGTTCATCTTTGCTCTGAGAGTAAATAAAACAATTATAATTTAATTCATGTAATTCTTACGTACCAGTAAGTAGCTTATGTATAGTTATGTATAATCTAGTATGAACGAATTGTACTTTTTATTAGTATCGTTCCATAGGCGGATGTCTCGTTTTCATAAATTAGATACGGTTACGTACCACTTTTTGTTTATGTGTTAATAAATGTTATTATTATTAAATATAGTCTATTGATTTTTATTATACTTTTATCGAAAATATATATCATTCTCATTTTAATCATCTAAATCATTTCTACTTTACGTGTATCCTGTATGCATCTGTGTGTTAAATATATATGTATATATAAGATTATAATTAATTATGCGCAACGTTTTATTTATCATTATTCTTACTTTGGCTTGTATCATATTTATATATCACTTGTATCGTTATTCGTGTTAATTACTTCAATATAACATATTTCGTTATTACTAGATTTAATATAGGTACTTGCACTTATTATTCGCGGACAGACTATCGAAGTAATTCATACTTGATTGCGGCAAAGCTAAGGTACACTAAATATATGACAAGTAGTTGATATAATAATAATAATATTCATCAAATCAAATATATGAGAATTAAAATAATCCTTAATTAAAGTTACGGCAAACGTACAGTAAAGTGTATACCACCTATAACATCTCGATGGGTTAATCATTTTTATGAAATTATAATATCTTTTAATAGCATTTATCATACTTCATCTCGATATATTACTTTATCCCCGGTTACGCGTATTTCCAGGAGAAGATAACAATCATCCCCATAGAAAGTAATAACATGATTAGAAGCCTCGTGTCCATGCTTTTATTATTATCTCTTGGTTTACGCTTCTGTTCTGTTCGCACTAGCACGCAGATAATAATAATTATCTTGGCGCAAAATAATGTCCTTCGTTTTACAACACGTATGCATATACATATATAGTACAAGCACAGGGATATATATACATATATATTCATAACCGAGGCTGTCAAGAGGGACAACCATTGGCTGCCTCATCATCATCAAAGATCCTAAAAATATCTTGTAACCGTTTTTTGCGCCCTATTAGTGCTTATGAGGTTAAAGGGGTAGAGAACTGTCCCCTTGCAACTTTCTTTCGAAAGGTGGACGTGTCGACTCAGGTGGATCTGCACGGGGGTGCCAGCCACGTGGACTGGGATCGTCGTGTTACGCCCCTGTACTCTCGTGAGGACATCAAGGAGCAATATTGCATAACGAGCCGGCAATTGGACGCCGTCGAGAAGTCTGGGGGTGGCATATTCGGGTGCCTATCTACCAGAGGTCCATCACCCTGCGGCAGCAGCAGGACATCCTCAATTTTATCCGCGTGTGTTCGAGGTGCACCCAGTGATGAAAATATCTGCGATGCACCCTATCCAAGAAGACCATTGCAGATTATGTACCAGCAGCCTTATCCAAACTGTCCCAGAGGACAACGATATGACCTCGAAGACGAAGACTGGGTCGAGAGTTCCTACTTTCGACGGCGACCCAAATCATTCTGCACCGTTCCTGATCCTAAGAGGTAAAAGAACTAAATCGAGATAAACGGCAGTGCACGCTCGCTGACTTCACTAAGTGCTTTGCAACCCGCTCAACTACTTTACCTTTAACCCTCTACCGTATGTACGATATGGATATAGTATACGGAGTATGCTATACATCATATAAAAGTTTTTTAGCTTCGTACGATACCTAAGAAGCGACTCTCATATATACACAAGTTGTTCAGCCCCAACGCTCCACCTGAAATTGGTACCCATTTGACTCTTATGGTAAAACCATATTCAGTTGGTGCATTTGGGTTGAACAGCCGGATAAGAAGCGGGTACGTTTTGTGTTGCTGGTTAGATGGTATACGAAAGAAAAAATGATGGCTGGTGGGGTGGTCTGTTATTGACAGGGACCGAGAATTTTACTGGAAAGAATGATACGGGGTCGCCTTGCTTGAACGCGATTTCATTATTTAGCGGATATTAAAATTTTCCAGAGTTTCAGATGGCGATAATGGTGTCCAGGGGTGGTTATAACAACTTCTGATTACACTATTACGTTATATCTACCTACTTAGGTACAGGAATTGTGAGGAAGACATTTTTAAGACGAAGGCCACTGGGTGAACCTGATTTTCCAATATCTAGGTTTAACGCTTGTTTATACGTAAAGGTGAGCCTTGAATACAGTAGCAGCGTTCATTATATACACTTTCTGCAGTGCCTATGTATTATGCGTATACATGGGACGCGATGAACGCGAAGCTCAGGGATATTAGTGAGCTTTCACATTTTCTCGAGATAACGCCAGTCACACTCGCTGTATTAGTAAAGCTCATAAAATGCATATACATATAGAAGACCACACAATGGCGTGGCGCATCCTTTAATAGAGAACGTAGTCCTGTAGGTAGGTCTCAAGGATCTTTCTGATCATGATCCATTGACTTCGTCCTGTCTTTTAAAAGGTATACGTGGCTCCCCGAAGATGAGGAGTCAACCAGGTTGGAGGGACCTAGACCAGTTTTACCAGCGGTACCACCTCCACCTCAACTCCCTCAACCGACCAAGACTAAACACGTGAGCTTCGCCAGGTCGCACACTTTGACCTCATTTGAAGTTTCACGCAGCAGAAGTCCCACGAGGCCGCACAATCAGGAACGACTCATCGATTCGCAACCCACCATGCAAGGATCCCTTTCCTCGACTCTACCACTGACGCATCCATATCCCAATGCTGAACCTAGAGTACTCGTTCTAGGTAAGTCGCGCTTGCCATTGATTTTACAGTTCTTGGGATGTCCATTGATATCGCGGAAGGCGAAGACTTTGGATATTTTATGAAAAACCTCCGAATCAATTACGTTATGTATAGCAACATGAAAAACGGGGAAATATATGTAATAATATTGAGAATTTATAGATTTTACAGAATTTATAACGACGAATCGTTATTTTTATAGTTGGTATAAACAGAGAATAGTGAAAAGTAATATTTATTAGTATGTTTAGCAGCGAGTCACAGCACTAACTCGCACTTTATAGCAAAGTATTCTTCACTGAAAAACCCAGTGAGAATTACCTTTGGAACAGTAATGGTTATAGTCTTCTAAATAATCAGTACTGTTTCGTTTCGTTCGTCGCTCATTTTCTGTAATACCTGAAGTTCGATGCTAATCAGGCTAGTAACCATTACTCTACACTATAATTAGGTCAGAATAGATATCGGATGGATATGCTAAGCGTTTAATCATTGAATAGAAATTTTTTATTGGTAATTTTGAACATGATAAATTTCTTTCTAATTCGATTACGTGTTACATGGTGTATGATAAAAGGATTGTGTTGTAATATTATAGAAAAGCCACCTAAGCGTGGCGTTATGAAGACTCAAGCGACGCAGACTGAAATTCCTCAGATACTCCGAGGTCGAGTAGCACCTATAACGTTAAGTCCACGAACCATCCATCGAGTGAAAATGGTGTCTCAAGGAGCTCAAACGAATGGTTTTCTTAACTGTCGAAAACTCACTAAGAGCTACTCGGAAGCTGGACAGTTCCGAGAACCCCTGGGCACTACAGTGCCTGGGGGTGGTTCAGTCAATGGGAAGGAAGAGGTGGAACATGAGCCTTTGCAAAGAACGCAATCTGAAGAGCCACCCAGATCGCCATTTATCGTAAATACACCACCGAGAAGTCCATCGATATCACGATCTATAGATCAGATCAATGGCGACTTAGAGGAACCCGTGGAACAGGTAAGTAAATCGTGTTGTCTAGAATATAAAAAACGTATAAAAAAATTTGATTAGGCACGAGAATAATTGATGAAATTTCGTTCCCCAGGTCCTCGGAAAGAACATCAAGCTGGATGATCAGGAAATCCTTATTGACTTTAAACCAGCTCCTGTGTCGCCGGATGCTCGCGCGCTACTTAACCAAACTCCGAAACCCTGTCGGCGGATATTATCACTGCAGAAGACACTTTCCGATGGTGAAATTCAAGTGGAGAGACGCGAACTCGTTGGAGAGGCTGGCGAACCAAGTTATCCTCATACGTGCAGAAGGAATCATCAGGATCACTGGAATAGAACAGCGAGAGCACCTATTTTGTTCTCTTCAACCCCTGAGGATTTATCCTTGTTGAGAACTCCACCGCCGACAGATGATCATCGCGAAGAGGTCCGTAAGGAGTAAATCAGATTATATTCTTCAGTAGTATAGAATTTATCTTTCAGGAATTCCATGAAAATTTAATACGTCGTGGACTCTTTCGGAAAAGAAGCGTATCCCTCGAGGATGGTGTTCAGGGACTGTCTGCTGGAGAACCGTTGCTACCTAGATCCTTACCTGCATCACCTACAACGCCGTCGTCGGTTCCGGGTCTGTTCACACTCTGTAATGTTTATTTAACTTTTTTTACTGTGCCACGTGATCATTGTTCGCGCTTGCTTTATCTTTTATACCACATCTTAAACAATTTTATGAACGATCTTTCATCGTTTTACGATCACTGATCTTTTTCTTATTTTGAAAGCTTACACAAGAGCTTTTATCTTTCGACGACTCCGAGAAGATAAATACACAGTGGAAAGTTTGAAGGACGATGACGCTCAAATGAACAGTATTAATTGTATAACGTACAATTTTCACGCGAATTCACGTTATCACGATGTTGTATTAATTTGCGGGAAGGCATTGAGCTCTTGTAATTATTGGAAATTGCATAACGACAAGTACCAGTAGGTACTAGAATGCCACCGCGAGTGCCTATTGTTTTGAATGAGGTCGTCTGGAAGAATGGTTAGTTATTCGGCTAATTAATGATTTATTGGATGGATTGCTGGTTCCGTACACGTAGGTCCTCAGAGGGTTACGCAAAGTCCGAAGAGTGAACCAGCCAGTCGTCATCTTTTACATGCCGGTCACATTGTCGGGACGTCTTCGTCCCCGTTCGCATCGAGCGATTCTCTTACGAATGACGCAACACGGGATCACAGTGATGGCATTTGGAACGAATCTCAGGCCACTGTTTTGCAAGTAGACTCGTTAGCCCTTCTTACGCCATCATCGAGGAGAAGACATCTCTTGCTTCTTCAACATCAACAACGATCTTCCATGGACACCGAAGCTTTGGACGCCGAGGATGAAATGGAAGCTTGCCCACCCAGTCCTAGAATACGTTTAGAAGCTGCTACTCCTGCTACTTTGACAACAAGGCAAGCGACCCAATAGTAGATCAGTAGAATTATTTAAAATTCAATTTTACTCTTCGCGAGCAAATTGTGTCCACCTTCTTCTTGAGTAATTAATAAACTTCGTACTCCATTTCTATTTTTATAATCCGACGAAGAATGTCTAATTCAATTTTATTGAATTCCAATAACGCTCACCACTAAATATTAATATTCTATTTTTAGCATCGAATCCTCCGTCTCCATAAGTAATGGCAGACCCAGAAGTGGACTTCATCGACGAAGCCCGGGACCGCCGATTTCGCAACCACATTCTCAATCATCCAGCGAGTTCGGTTTGAGTTTAGCGAGAACAGATTCGGGTGGTAGAACTAATACCGATTTGTCGGAAACGTCCACGACCGAGGACTACGTCACTGCTAATACGTCAACCGGAACAGGGACTACCACGGGTACTTCGGCTACGACGAGCTCTAGATCGCGACAGCCACAACTTCCGAATATGACGCCAACAGCTGAAGGAAGTTCTTTCGAAAGTGCTAGTTCTATTTATAGTCTGGCCAGAAGTGAAGTGAGTCCAAATATTCAGTCATAGTTTATGGGTCATAAGTTAAATGTCTGAGATGATAGTTTATGTTCCCCTAACACAGTAGTGTAGGTGGAATTCAGGATAGCGAGAAATAACTTAACCGTGGGTCAAGCGGTTTAACGTTGAATCACAACTTGCCATTAATTATTACAGTGCTTAATGATATTCTACAATTTTAATAAGGGAAATTCATTTTAGTAATGCATGGACGGTACGATTATAATAGGCGTTATTATGCCTGTACCGAGTTAAATTTATGAAAACGTATGAGTACAGTTAATTCATTGATTGTGATTAATTGATTTACTTTTAAAAATTTAATTTGTTCATACGCTGATGCAGCATGGCCAATATCTATATGTTTTACGTTATCAGCCAGTTGCCGAGGAACCATGCAGTCCTCCAGCCATTTTGGAAGAGACTGAGGTCTCTCCAGCATTGGAACCGCCAGCTTCACCTGCGAGATCAACTAGTAGCAGTAGTTCCGGAAGTTACGATCTTGAGGACGCCATGCCAGATCCTGTACAAGAAACGTATCCCACTGCGCCACTTAGCGGGCACACATCGGAAACTGAATTGGATCATGATGTAAATATAGATATAGACATATTTTCATAACTCCCGACGTTCGTTTTATATTTTTGAAATTCTTCTATGCTATTTATAATCGGCTGAACATTCTTATCATAAATTCTTGTTAGCGAAACCAAAATATAATGGATCTAGTTTATCCTATCGATGGTATGCGTATATATTTTGTAATAAAATTTGCAACCGGTTGTCACTTTGATGCGTATACCATTCGCTTACATTTTTTTATATTTCGAACGTATTGAACAAGTGTTGCGACTTTTCCATTGAGAAGTAAATAATTGAAATTTATAAATAATTTTTATAGGACGGACATCATTCATCCTCCGGAGGTTATGCGGAGTCTCCACCCGATCCTCATATATGGACGGAAGAGGAACGACGCAAAAAGAAGAAAATGTTTACTCTAGATTTTCCAGCAGGTCAAGAGGAAAATGCAGACAGAGCTGGAGAACAGTTACTAGATACCGATGTGAGTCCAACTCCTAGTCATCGACACAGAACCCGTGGGAAGCCTTTGAATAGCAGAAGTCCACATCGAAACAATAAGAGAAGAGATTCTTCTCAGCAACAGCTGATCCGCAGTCCGCAAAAGGAGGAGTGGAGAGAACAAACCGAAGATGGTACACACGTGGCCACTTCGGACGACTCCAGTTGCAGTCATCACTATCATCTTCATCATCATCATCACCACCTACATCGTGAAACCGGTGAAGGTATAAGACACAGAAGAACCAGAGAAAGTCCCAGAAGAAAATCTGGATACGTGTCTGCAAGAAGAAGAAGCAATGAGGTGACATATTGAAAAATCACTAGAAGTGGTTACGTAATTTGCCCAATTTGTTTTTTTCATCGCACCATGTATTATAATATTTCCTTAACATTTGTATATCTGTTTCTTTTTTTTCATTATTGTCTTAAACAGCAATTTAATTTTCTAGGATAAGAACGCTGCATTAACAGGCAGTCTGCCAAGAAGAAGATCCCGTCCTGTTGAGGACGTGTGTTCTAGTCGGTTAAGTCCTGCGGGACGTTACCAAAGAAGTCCTGGGCATAATGGTCACACTGCCGTCATCGTAAAATCACCTAGTCCTGAATCCAGGCTCAAGGCTCTATCTGCTGAGTCTTTGAGATCCGTTAGTCCCGGAAGTGATAGTGTCTTCTATAGTGAGGGTGCCGATCAACCTTGCGTCACTACGAGTTTGGAGCCTCTGGATTCGCATCATTGTCATCACTGTGGTCGGGAGGTACGTGAACGATAGTATTATCACTTCTAATTTTCCAAAAGTCAAATTTTTTACAGAAATTCAAAAAAAGGATCTGAACCTATTATTAGCACAGTACGAAAAAAAGTGACAATCTTGATACCCTTAAAATTGTCTTGGTAGCACTTCTATTTGATGATACGTAGGCCATAATGTATTAAAAGCTGCCGATAATAAAAAAATATTTCCTGATCATCAGGTATCGGAAGAGATTGTACAACCGCCGGCAGGGTTCGCAGATTCACCGGAAGGTCATAGGGTCACTACGAAACACGTGAGTCACCGGCTGTATAAGAAGTTTGATAAGAGGTACAGATCGGAGGATCGTGGAGAACGTAGACATCATCGAAGTAGCGTGAGTCGATCGGATATCAGGGCGAAATCTGAAGAAAGGGGTGGAAGGTCAAGTAGTCGCGGGTCAACCGAGGAAGTCAGTCGTAGGCGACTTCAGGCGCGAAGTACAGATGCCAGTATGGAGATTCTCACAGGTATTGATTTAACTTATGGTCTAAATATAACATATGACATTGTTACTATTTCTCATGCTACTTCTATACGACTTTTGTACTATTATTATTATTCGTTTATTCATACCACACGGTGTGTGTGTGTTGTAGCTGTCTAGGGTCTGATGATGCTAAAAATAAATTTTACCTCATTTTTAGGACGAGAGGACGAAGACAGTTATATTGAACCTTATACGAGTGGCGAATGGATCTACATAAGTGACCTGGAGGAGAGTCACGTGTGGAAACGGCCGGACAGTAAGGACAGCGACGACGAGATCCTTGACAGGAACAAAGATCGGCGAGGATCGCAAGAGTCGACAAGTAGCGAAAAGACCTTCCGTAAAAAGTACCAAGCAGCGACGCATAGAATGGTGCATCGAAAGAGTAGCGGGGAAATGTACAAGAGGATACAGACCAAGAGTTTTGGTAAGTTTTGAGTACATTATTTTTTCTTGATTCTCTGACTCGTTTTAATTTAATGCTATGGTTATAATTTTTAAGTGGTGTTCAAAGCACACAAATTCTCAAGTAGGTACTCGCTGGTATATTAGATTAAGATTTTGACTTTATTCAAGCCCATCCATTGATCTAGGAAGTCGGTATTGGATTAGAGGGCTGATAAATTCGTCAAAGCTTTCGGGGAGCCCTCTTGTCTGGTACTTCAGTGCTATTAGGAAATATAAACAGAGAAAGAAAGTAACTTAGAAGGAGATGGGGAAGGTAAATTAGAGGGTAGAAAAAAAAATTGAATGTAGAGAGGAAACAGTTTATTATTTTCAAATATTAAATGCTATCTAAATAAGTGGAAATCTGTCCTCTTCGTGTGTATCAGTGTAGTCGGTGATTTGTGATAATAATTGATATTAGTTATTTTATACAAATGAAATTATACCTTGACAATATTTTCATAAAATTTATATTTAATACTGTTAGTTTAACTGAGATGTTTAATAGTGTAAGTCAGTTTTAGAAATACAAAATTTAAATAATTTTTTTCAACATGATCGTTTATATCTTCAAATTAGAATTTTTATTGAAAATAGAATATAGTTGTATTTTGTATCGTTTATTGATTTGACAAGAGTATTATATACTGTGGTATGGTAATATGTCATGAGACAATTTAAATGCATTTGAATATCATTACCATAGATTACTGAGATGAAATCCATGATCCCGTTATGTCACTTCTGCAGATGGCGAATTATAGTCATTTCCAAATGCAGAGGGTGAATCTAATACAGAAACTGACGTGACCCGATCACTTGCAGTGTCTGATTCTAACGTCTAACTATGGTACCATCCAATTTAATACTCAAACTGCTCACCTACGGTTGGTGAGATACGATATAAACTACATGTAATTTTGCAGTCAATAGATTATATAACAGGTTTAACGTCCCAAATTACTATAAGCATTAAAGTTTGCGTGATGTAATATTTGCAAATATGAAATTTTTTTAATACAGGATGGCGTTATATTCGAAAATAGATTATATTTTTTCAATGTCTTAAAACGTATACTACGTTGCGAGTAACTCTGAATCGAATTTGGATTATTTATTTTTGTCTGAAACTTCACCAATGTTTATTTTCAAACACGCGAAAACAGTAAGTAAGGGTAGCAGGGAAAGATGACAGATAAAATGATCTTGTTATCTGACAGATCAATTTGCCATTTACTCTGTTTGTTTCTGTAGTTCAGATTCCAAGAGGTTCTTAAAGATACGTCATATTAAAAACAAAAGTCTTTAATCCTGTCACTCAGTTTCAATGAAATATAAAACCGAGAGTCTAACAAATATAACGAATCAAAGATCTTAGACATACAATAATACATTGTTATTATTATATATATATAATTTACTATATATATTATATTACAAACTTCGTATCCATTGTTATTGTCATCTTCAAAGAAAAAGTACGTATTTTCCCAGATAAACCAAAGGATTATCTTCATCGGGCTATTTAAAGACACAGTAATCCTATACTTTGATCCAAGAATTATTCAAAATACTACAATCTCTATATAAGCTGAATGTAAATTAATTTTCTTAATTAATTAACTTCAGTCTGAAGCAGATAACAAAAACAGTTTTAATTAATTAAATACACAAGTCTTTTACATCTATATTTTTAATCTTTGTAGCATCGAGGTACACTGGAAGACTAGTAATATGAGATAGGGAAAGCACGGAGGGTCGGAACGGGGTGCGATGAGACGATGAGATGGAAGGATAGGCATTAAGCACAGTTGAGCGACGAGAAAGCACAGTGACGTAATTTCGCGTGGCTTCGCGTCAATCGTCTGACGGATCGTCACTTAATTGAGCGATATTTTTACGCGTGAGGAGAAGCGAGAAAATCTTTTTTTAAGATATACGAGACAAACGATGACGTGGGTACATGAGGTTTTCCTCTCTCCGATATTGTGTAATTTTTTCCCGGTTCACCCGTCACTCATTATTTTCACATACAAACAAAAAGACGAACATGTGCGACAATTGAGCGATGATCGACACCTTATGGCTATGACATGTTTGTATAGAAGCGATGGTATTTTAAGCGATTGTTAAATATTTATCGTCACTCGAAATTAATTTTGACCGGGCAGCACTTCAGGTTCGTATCTATCGACAAGTTATACGATAAATGAACAACATGCGGATCTAATCTTTAATCTCTACGCAACAATCGTCAGCCCTTATGACCACACAAATCCGTTGGTATCGCTGGTGTTCGCGTTCGTTTCCAACTGTTGACTGTCTATTTATAAGGTATCGTCGTGAGGACGCGGCATTCCAGCATACCGACTATTTACTGTAGAAACTTTTTTTACCAGCTGGTACCGATTTCTTTCATTTTCATTCTTCACTTGCCTATATAACGTCGAAAGGAAAATTGTTAAACTCCCGGATATCTGTGGCAAATGAAAAAAAAAAAATTAGCAAAAATAATATAAAAATATAAAGAGGAATTTGCAACTTTTTCATAGAAGAATTTATTGATAATACTTATCAAAATGTAGAATCAACGCAATCGATACTTTTGGAGTTGTAAGAAGTACTTATATTGTTAAAAAAAAAAATTATTAATATGGTCTCAACAACCAAAAATATATTTTTTCGCGTGGTGATAAAAGTATCGAAATTCGCTATTAGCGGGAAAAGAGCCCCTTCTTCCCGATTCTTTAAATAAGCTTCACGTAATACCGCGTGCTAAATATAATCGGGGCGTCGCGGCGCTGAACGTCGTGCAAGATCTTCGTGAGGGAAGCTCATAGTAGCATTGGAAGGGGTGATATGGCGAGGGGGTTCTGTGGAAAGAGGCGAAACGGGCAGCCGAAGAAGAGCTTTCGGCTACAGTCAGTGGGTCAGGGCGCCGAGTCGCATTCCAAGAGGCCATTGGCTGAAAGTGTCGTCGTGTTACGCGTCGTCGTCTTCCGTCGCGTTCTCACGCCGGGCGTCCTCGTAATATTACCGAATAAGTATCAACGATAAAGAAAGTAGAAAAACAAAAGGAAAGAAAGAAAAACGAATCAGAGTTACAGCAGCTATAAAAGATACGGCTCCGAATTGGCTCTTGGAAAGGAAAGACAGTGCAAAAGAGCCAAGGTGTCGTCATCGACGTCGTCGTCGTCATTGTTGTCGTCGGTGCTGCTCGCCGGCAAAATGGTGTGCGATTCCGCGGGTTCGGAATGTCCCACGGAAATTGGGGAAGACGTGTCCCTCAAGAAGGCTTTAGAAGATCTACTCAAGTGCATGCTCAGGGTCTGGTGCAGGGAGGGTCAAGCATTGACGAAGCTCGGCGTCCCGACGACTGGTAGATTATTTATTGATCTCTATAATAAAACCTGTTTAGTACCTTTTTCTTCAATTCTTTTATCATTAAGCACTAATGATTTTTCCAAATTTCTTCATGATAACTATCTATCGCGTCATTCGAATCTCGAGCATAATAAATTTGGCGCCATAAGTGCTAATATAGGGCTCCATTAATATTCCCATCGGTTGGTTAGCGTTCATGGTTGTAACGATGATACCATTTTTTTTGGCACTTATTTTCAGAAGGTTGGATAGGTCAGGTTCCTTTTTTCTTCATAGCTTTCCGTTCTATGAGCAATCTTTTTTTTTTTCATCGAGCTTTTACATACATTTTTTTAATTATATACCTTTTACACGATATCCTTATTTATTAATGAGCAGTACGTGTTTGTATATTAATATATAAATTTACAGTATAATCATAAGAATTTGAAGCTTGTTAAACTATCGCTCATTCGTACTCCAAACATATAACGAAAAACTAAATACACGTAATTCATTAACACTCATATAATTAACAGATTCCGGTTTAGATTATTTGATTGATGTAAATATACGAGCAGGCTCAGGTGTTGATTAGATCGGGCGTCCCGACGCCCGCAAGGTAATCACTCGTTTTATCAGTACCTTCTTGACACCCTGCCTCACTTGGATGGCAACAATGACTTCGTCCTTGTTGAAAATGATAGTTTCGATGTTTTTTTTTTCACTCGGACGCTCATAACGGCAAAGGACACTGTACATTTCAATGCCATCTTCAAAGTCCATTATCGCTTAACGTTCCTTAATGATTTAAGGTTTCATCCAATTGGCAATAATGGCGTCGCCGTCGATCATTCTAAATCAATCCTCTCGATTGGTGAGCCATCGACTTGCAATGTTAGCGTGATGCTAAAATTGAACCAGATGATTGGTGAAGTGTATTTAATTGACGCCTGGCGTTTATCAAGGAATTTGTATTCCTATATCCATTTAGTGCTTCGTTCATTTCCTTTTTCAATCACTATATATTTTACTTATACGTATATCACTCACAGTAAACTTTCCGTTAATATCCGATAGCATGACTTATAAGCCTATTTTCATTCCATAGAACGAATTGAACGAATTGTATGACGTACGTTTAATGGCACTTTAGTATTAATGGATGAATTTCTTCGAATACTTTTATCAAAATTGCTTTGTCTGATTACATCGTACTCTTATCACGATGAAGGTTCGATCACATTAGAACGATTACATAGAAATTTGGAATATGACCAAAAATTGGTGCCTCAGTAATTTTTTAATAAAAATGTCTTTTTTTTTAATGATGATCACACAAATTTTAATACGTTAAACCAAAGTGAATATATTAAATTGATTTTCACTAGATTTCCTGTAATTCTGTGATTTAAGTATATGCGACAAAGTGAATAATAGACTTTTATTAATTTATATATTATAGTCGTTTGCTCTCCGTTAATTAATCAGATATCCTTCGTCCTCGATTAGGAGATATTTTTAACATGGTTTTATATGTATTTCATAATTTCAAAACGTAAAAAGCTCTTTTTAACGATGACACTATTCTTTCTACTGTGTCTACATTGCTATTCTACTCATGGTCTCATGTTCTTACATAATCCAGGATAATTTCGTTTTTTTATTTTTGCACGCTTCACAGTACTGAGATAGAAGTACGCAGAAGTTCTATATGTATTACTCGTTAATACATATGTACAAAATAACATGTGCTTATACGTACTGCATCGCATATGTATGTACACTATACCGCATCGTTGACCTAATTCTGTGACAAGAAATAATAAAAAGCTGCCAGTTGCGAAACGTGGCGGCAGGTATGCGTGTACATGATTATTGGTTAGTAATGACTTGTTCATTATTAATTTGTGGTTAATGCAGCATACACAATGGGGATTGTTACAAAAAATATTATGCAGCAATACTTCATATTTGTAAATCGACTTGTTTTTACCCGAATATTTTTGTAAAATGTATGGTCGATTTTATGTCTGCAAGGATCTATAAAAAGCACACGATAAATAATGTATTTCCTGGCGCCTATGGAGCCTGTTTACTGTTAAGCGTAATCGTTAAAAATGGACCGATTGCAAAATTCGTTCCTATCTTCCTAAAGGAATTTTGGCAAATAAAGAGTGAATTTTGCCAAATTGCAATGTACATGTGTGTCTCTATTTATTTTCGCAAGATTTAAAAATAAAATATTTAAGAAAACCTCATTTGGTCAAGGATCGATTGTACCATGTCAAATCCAGACGGATATATTTTTTATCACTGACTAACGTGATGATAAAGAAAATTAAATAGTTATTTTCATGACTGCGACTACTGAACGAGTTCAGAAAATTCGTGAAAATCATGCGTTTCCGCAGATCAGATAACGGCCAAAATTCGTTGCCAAAGCATGTAACAGGTAGTTTGACAATAAGACATTCCAAAAGAATACAATGATAACGAATGATTCTTCATGTTAAAAAATTAAAATTGATATTCGCACAACAATGAAGTTTTGTGATATCGAAATAAATATTTTGAAGAGATTTAAAAGTTGCATTAAAATGAACACGTGGAATTGGCATATTTTTCAAATAACATAAATGCTCCATAGTTTTGCAAGTGATTTTCCAAGTTTTTTCCACATCCCTCCAAATATTATTATTATTATTATTATTCGAATTACAACAAGTTCTGATTCACAAACATGACTCACGTAACCGAATGTTTCCTATCAACCAAATTCCATCATATCCTTCCATTTTGTCCGAGGAATTCTAATGTATCTGGCAGTATGCAGAAATAAAGCTGGCACCACAGTCACGTGATGTATCGTCCGTAACGTATGACGTAACTTGGTTATTTATTTTCGCATCATCCAATTTGCTCTTGAATGTGTTAAGTTCTGTTTAAGCAGAGTACAATGAAAATCCGAAATTGTTCAAAATTTCAATAGCTAAGATTTCCTTGCCAAAATGATTCTCTTCAATTTCAAAAATTTATATAAAAAATAATTTATCTCGAGCAACATAATGTAATTCCAAACAATTCTGTTTGCAGAGAGCGATAAGCGGGTTGTGGTGAAACGAGAAGCGGGAGGTGAATTTGGCTTCAGAATTCATGGATCAAAGCCTGTGGTTGTGTCGGCTATTGAGCCAGATACACCGGCTGAAAGTTCCGGACTCGAAGTGGGCGACATAATAATGTCGGTAAATGGAAAGAGCGTAATGGACGCGACGCACTCTGAAGTCGTACGATTGGCACACTCAGGTACTGATGTCCTGGAACTGGAAGTTGCTAGGACCTGCAATGTTCTGGCACCCCAATTGTCCAGGGGTGGACCAAAAGAGAGTGCCGTTGAGGCTCCGCTTTACTCTGGTTACTTGTGGCGTAAAGCCGCAACCTCATCGAATAAATGGGTTCGAAGATGGTTCGCTCTTCGGCGCGACAACTGCCTTTACTACTACAAGACTGACGCTGTAAGGATTCACGTATATTTGTACATTTTCAATTTCGATTCATCGTTTCTTTTTAATTTTGGTATTTTAATAGTTTGTGATATAAATAATACTATTTTCGATCTTGTTCTTATTCTTTGATTTAGGATTCGCAGCCTGTGGGAGCAGTAATGTTACTTAAATATGACGTCACACCGACGCCAGATATTCGACCACACAGTTTCGCGATAACGAAACCGGGCGCACCGACGCTTCACTTAGCTGCAGATACTGAAGATGCCGCGTCTCGATGGAGTACAATTATATCTGAAGCCGTCGAGAAAAACGAACAGGTAATCGTAATAATTTAATTATTACAAGATGCCCGTCTTGCATCGACCGATTTCATTATTTTTGAGTAGTGAAATACTTTGAAAAAATTGTCAAAAGATACTCATCTATTTTGAATTTACCTTAATTAATATTCATAAATATAAAATTTTATTAGGGCGACACGTGGTTAGATACTTCACTGAGGATGCAACAAATGCCGGCATGTGCGATCCAACGACCCGACTGCTTCGGTTACCTAAGCAAGCAACAGGATCACGGAAGAAAGTCTACCGGAAGTTGGTCCAGACGTTACTGCGTCCTCAAAGATGCGGCACTTTACTTTTACGACGATGCGAACGCTGAAAGAGCTTTTGGTGTCGCCTGTCTGCATGGTTTTCGTGTTCATGGAAGCGCACCCACCGCCGGACGGAAACACGCCTTTGAACTTCAGCCATCAGATCCAACACAGAGGACTTATACATTCGCCACAGAATCCGAAATGGATAAGAAGAGGTAATTGATTTAAAAAACTTATAATATTATCAAATTCTTCATTTCATTTTCATTAGAATTCCTCTATAATATACATTTGGAGTTATTAATAAAATTTCATATAAACCAACCCTGAACCGTATGTATCATATTTATGAATTAAGTAAAATTTCATTTTCATCTCTAATTCAAAAACTATATAAACAATATACTTAAAAAAGTATGAACATCGGTTTATATAATACAGGAGAGGACATCCTAATTCCATTACAATTATACATATAATACACAATAATACCCAACCTTCTATATATTATATAGGTCGATTTTCCACAGATTATATAAAGTATAGAAATACGCCGTCCCTATAACTCATCTGTAGAGAAATTGCATAAATTGATTGATCAATAAATCAAATTAACTCTGATTACAGATGGCTGGCGGCACTAGAGTATTCGATCGACCGATGGATAAAGATAGGTTGACAACGAACCATCTAACACGAAAGAAAAACGACGTAACTTTAAAGAGAAGAAGAAAAAAATGAGAATCGAATCACGTTTCCACGTTCCCACATCCCAAAGCGAAAAGAAATTACAAGAAGGCAAATAGGGTGAGATCGAAAAGAGGTGAAAGAAAAAGGAGATGAAAAAAAATATATATATAAAAAAAGCACAGTATCAGGAACCAGGCCAAGAGTTGTTACTATGGATTATAATTTTGACGTTTATCGTTATTACAATTATGATATTATTACACTTACGATTATCGTCGATGTCGTTTACACACGTTAAACGCTAAAATTTATTTATCGGTCGTGATTACGATTAATTGTTTATGTCCGTTATAAATACATTATCGCTTAACGTTCAAACGACTACGACTATTGTTTCGAGCGCACAAACATAAACAATATAATGTGTATAGAGTGCGATTGGATATTTTAACGAAAGAAAAGCGAGCGGTATCGTGTGTTTTCGAAATTTCGTAAATTTGCGATAATTATTTATTCGTGTCGAGTGCCTGAGAGCGTGACTGTATATTTGTTGTTATAATGCGAGGATATGATTATGTGGACGATGCTAATGATAAATTATCACGAAGATGACGAATCTTCGCGATCTGATGACGACGACTACGAATTTGTACCTCGCGCGCATTTAAAGGTAACGTTTATAAAAATTGAACAGATAAAAGAGAGCACTATAACCATGCAAGTTATAAAAAAATGAAAACTTAATTACGTGTTAATAAGGAGCCGAAATAAGAGGATTTAAGGTGCGAAAATGATATTGATACGAAGGAAACTAAGTCATCCGCTCAAAATCTGAGATAATAATAAAGACTTTAATACCAGTTATCTAATGGCAACTGCCGCTCACTCTACCCTTATATCACTATCTGTGGAATTTATTCTAGGAAATTTCGTTGACAACGAACGTATGCCCTGGTATGCTCTCTTCGTTTCGTCAAACGAAATTCCCTATGCATACAGCTTGTGCAGACAAAAGTACATCCGTAAGGATATTCCATGACCATTCACGAATTTCTTCCACAATTTTCCAGTATCACTACTTCCCTAAAACAATCCATGATTAGACCTTTCCTACGTACTACCAACGATTTCCGCTTAAAGATCCAAATTTCCAATGATCCTCCCATCGTATCCAACGTAATTAAAAAAAATCCCATTATTAACTTATATCGTTTACACGTGCCAAAGATATTGTTGCAAGAACAACAACAAGGAAACAGACCATGAAATTTATACTACAAAATCGAAATTTTATTGTCGCGCGCCTCGCGCATCTAAATTTAACGATAAGACGAAAATCAAAGAAAATTCAGTGTCTTGTATAACAGATTTTTTCAAGTTTTTCTATACTAATTATTATAAAATTGTTTTTTGAAAATTCTTTTTTATCACGTAACACACGTGTTATTTGCTACCGAGCCGCGCGAGTATTTCGATTAACGGAAATCACCATGGTAAACTTTGGCAATGTTTCATCTTATTACGAACTAATGTACTCGGTGTAACGCTAAATGAACGTCGCTGTAATTATGTGTCTTAGTCAGAATTTTGTAGGAAGCAGCTAGCAGGATTATCAGCTTGATTCTCTCGGTGCGTTATACCAAAGAAGAGCACCATCCCAATTTAGGTACTACCTGCTGGAGTACTTCGAGTAGTGGAATGAAGTACTTAGATACCTATACTACTACTGCTACTGCTACGCAGTGTACCGAGAGTAATGGCCATCCGGATTGAGAATTGAAAGCTAAGAAAAGCTTTGTGTTTAGAATAAAATGATACGACAGACCACCTCTCGTCATCCATCTTCTTGAATTCCACTCAAACTGTATCGTACTCTGTGTCGTATTAAATTGTGCTGTACTGTGTTAAATTCTGATGCTGCACCTGCTGCACCAGACCCGTTTCGCGACTGCAGTAGCAGCTTTCACACATACACTACCATTCGAATATCTTTTTTCACCTCTTATTTTAGTAGATCTGTTAAGATACATACCAATCGATTTCATTCATTGATTTTTCATTCTTAATCAAATTTAATCGCATCATTAGCAAACACTACTTACAGCATATATACCTACGACTAGCACTATCTTAAAGTTAGATAATATTATTTGTACTTACTTGCTGGAACTTTTTTCTTTAAAATACAATAGGCTTCTATTTTTCACACAAGAAAACATTGATTTCTCACTGTAATCTGATCTCCTTCTTTAATTAAGAACTTTACTAGAAAAACAGTCCATTGCTTTAAAAACAACGATAGAACTCAGAAAATATTTTTGTTGGTTCTTAAGGCAAAATTAATTCCCATCAATCGGACAGACACTAGATCACCAATCATATCAGATATATCATTGGCAGATTGAATTGAGAATAGAAAAAAAAGTAACCCAACTTTATGTCCCTAATGAGACCCAAATCAAGTTCATGTAGAACGTAAAATCTGGTGGTGCCAATCAAAGCAGTGCAATGTACCTATAAATGAACATGGTTGCAGTATGGTAGTATTCAGTAGTGGTAAGTATTCCATAGTAGATAGGAGATTGCCGATATGTTCTCATTACGTGTCGTGTAGGTATGCGGCGAGTCCGCGTTCTTCGCGTCCCGTGACGTGCATGCGGTGTATGGGATAAGGAACCGTGTCTTTCCCGGTGTGCTGGAGTGCCGACCAGGCCCAGTGGAGGTGGCGCTCGAGTTTGTGGAGGTGGATACTCGTGGGCCTTATGCTGCTGGAGTCGAGGAGAATGGCCCTGCGACGTCAGAAGGCAGGGAACTAGTTCAGTGAACAAAACGACTCAAAAGGCAGTTGCACGCTGAGCAAGATGTTGACTCTTCGAGACTTTCAGAGACTGTGCAATGCAGTTGCTTCAGATATATTTTATGTTTCCTTTACTGTATATATCGTATATTGAATTTAGTTCTTTCCAGTCTACTATTCAATTTCTTTAGTTGATCGAGCAACATCTTATTTTACATATTGATTTCTTTTATAAAAATATTACACGGGTGCTATGGCCGTCTGTTTGCTATGTATATCAATGCACATTGATTGATCTATTTGGTTTAAATATATTTGAACGTTTTTAATAATTTCATATTTTATCTTTATTGTCATATATTTCCGGCGACGAGATCAATTTGTTTGAATTTATCGCTTATCTTTCATCAATTTTGTATCTTGATTTTGGTTTTTCGATAATAGTATGTTAGTCAAGAATACTCTTTGATAAGAATTGTGATACATTTTGTAATATTATATATTTTCTTTTATACTGAAGACTACTATCGTTGTAGATAATATCTTAATACTACTAACGTAGTTAAATTTGGAGTCGCTATATTAACACTTATTAATTCAGTAGTGATGCGATAGTCATTAGTCATTATACACTCGTAGATCCTCATTAATGCTATATCCTTTTCATATGCATGATAATACAGTGTATAGCACTGTACGTTATAACGAGGCTTATAGATCGCATTTACATTACAGTATGGATCATCAGCATACATTGATGTGCCTTTTATTCTTTTATCCAATAAAAAGGAAATTACCGGGGTTACTGAAATACGTGTTGGCCGGTTCTCAAGGCACGGCAAAAAAGGAATTTCCGTCGCGAGAACGTGACGTGGAAACAAACGAGCGTAGCGTGCGACCAGACTGAAAGATCAATTGGCAATGTCGAGGATCGATAAGATCACGAAATTTCCATCGATCAGGTGAGAGTATGAATTTCTCTTTTTTTTCGGCTTTGGCAAATTGTTTAGTGATATTTTGTCGCGAATACAAGTCGCGACAATCGCTTTCAGCGCTTATCGCGAGTATCGACGAATAAAATAATAAAATTAATCTCCTACCATATTTCCCGAAGAAATGTCCGTCCTCCATTATAGTTATTGTTATTACGACGATAATTCCAGAAGGCGACGATTCCGGAAAATTTACTTAATTTTTCTTTTGCAACTACACGTGCTAGGCAAACGTAGCACCATAAAAATAGTTTGGGATACAAAAGGCCATGATGGTCTATTGTGTGTTTGTTTTCTTAACTTAAGTCACGCAATCTTTACTTTTTATACGAATGTTAACCATTATACGAAATGTCAGTGTTATTCGAAAATTATTTCAAGTGGAGTAAATAAATATTAATAGAAATTAATTGACATGCTTGTGACAGATCTTAATTGTATCTATACAATAGGTACTATTATTTCATCCCTGAATTTATTAAAGCAGTGAGAATTATAAGGAACTGGATTCGCTTTTGAATTATCATTACAAACAGCATTCCTAATTTTTATCAAATACACCAATAGTTAAATTAATGACATAATATTTTTGATCGTATACTTAAAATCAAAATGAGACCAATAAAATGTAGTCAATGCGTATTTTATACGTTTAACGTAATTTTGTCCTAGTTTAAATATGGATTTTTAATAAATATTTAGTTTTTTTAAGCGATACTGTCTTTTTAGTATACATTCAGTCCAATTTACAGAAGTGCAATCGCGATTGTCCATCCATATTAATTTCTCTAGAATTTTCATATATTTCTGTTGGGTATCGTGAAGAGTTAGCAAGAATCGTCTTTTCTATTGGACTGTGTAAGACTGGCTGGGCGTCGGCGGCTGCCGCAGCCGCCGCGAGTCCGAAAGACTCGATCTTTCGAAGTGCCTCTGGCTGGCGTCGGAGTGCACCGACCATGCCTCTCTCTTCTCTTCATGCAGCCCGACAACCAATCTTTTCTGTCAGTGCCGTCCCCAAACAAGCTTCCTACAGGTGCACTTACAACCTGTCCTCGTATTTTTGCCACCACTGATCCGCGCCGCGTTTCCGATTCGCGCGACACCGACTCGCGATATTTGCGGTGCCCACAGCAAACGCGAGTCCGTCATGATATATGGTTTGGTTATGAAAATGTGAAAAAAAGACTTTCACGTTTCATCGAATCGTTTCGAATTTGTATATTGGCACTTTTTGAGGCCTATTCGGATGGTCGGCATGGTTTAAAAGGATCCTTAAAAGGATTTTTCTATGGAAACAGGTGTACTCGTATTTGTCGAGAAGAAATATTCTATTGATGCATTGAGAATGGTTTCTCTTCGGAATTGGTATTCTTTAGTTTTCACGTTTGTCATTTATTCTTTGGAAACTTAATGTACTAGTTATTGTAGTTTGTTATACACTATAGTTTTTCTATTAAAATACGTACATTTGGGTAGATAGGAATTTTTTATTTGAAAAAATTGTAAAAACTTATTTAACGAGAAAATTACAGTTTCTACGCTTAATTCTTGATACTACATTCTATAAGATATTGAGAAAGGAATCTTTTAAAAGTGTGTTTCTTGTGGAACAACTCTTACGTAACATACTGATCTGCATGATGTCATTAGAGAAGATCCTCAGGTTATTCCATGACCTACTGTAATCAGTTAGAAATTGACTCCAAATGTAGAAACGCATATTACAAATTTTAGAAAAAAAGAATCGTTACTTTTTTCATAAATGCAATATTTTTTTTTAAATTATATTCATATACATTGAACTAATGACAAGTTTTATAACATGGTATTATCATGGACCTAATTATAAATAACGGAAAATATGGAATAAATATATAACCACGCACAGGTAAAATTTTTAATAAATATTACCAAAAACAGTATAACATTGATATTAAATAAATATGCACGATACCGTTTACAAGAAAAATGTATTTCACATCCATCAAGAGTAGTGTTAATATTACGACTAATTGACCCCCAATTAATTTTCTTAACCCACCAATAAATAGGATACCCAATAATTGAAAAGAGCTCCTAGAACCAAAGGAACAGTAACTCAAGACCCTAAGTAACCTAATTTGAGTGGAGAAGCAATAAAATCTGGGAAAAACCCTGAAGATACCTCGACACCCTACAAAATAGCACAGTTCCCAAAAAAAGCCCCAATAACCGATTCCAAGAGAAATGATTATGTTTACGGAAAATCAATTGAGAAAGGTGGAAGCGTATCGCAGGGTCCGGTGCCCCAATATATTCGTCCCTGGCCCCCATACCCCAAGTGAGCCTAAACCTTCAATGTTCAACCTGCCCGGCTCGATGTCTAAGGTAGGTAGGTAGGTAGGTAGGTAGGTAGATAGGTAGGTAGGATCCCAGAAAGAGTAAGGACCAAAAGCAAGCAAGATGACTGAAGAAGATGGAAAGAGAATGAAACAAAGAAGATGATACACGGGAGAAGGAGGTCGAAGAAAGAAAGAAAGCAAGGAAGAAAGGGAGAGAGATAAGTTAAAGAGTCAGAAGAAGAATCGTTGGGTGTATCGGGAGAGTCTCTTCTCCTCGTGGCCAAAGAGGAGGGAGAAACGACGCGCAGCATCCAGCAGCAGCGCTACTAGCGGCAGCCGAAAGGAAAGAAGAAGACTGCCGCGTTGGTGAAGCTGGTGTGCGTGCGCGCGTGAGGTCCGTGCGTGTGCCTGAGTTGCGTGGGTGTGGGACTGGAGAAGCCTACCTGACGGCGTCCGACACGCAGTAAACCGCGCACCGTGATATCTCCAAGCGGAGCTCTCGAGAACGCGTCCATTTCTGCATTAGGAAAGTACCTTTATCGGCCAACGGAAGCCAGTGTAATTTCTCACCGAAGGAAGATTAAATATCTTTTCGAGGAAGTTCGAGACGGAGCAAATCGTGATCTGAAAGTTTGTGTATCGTTTCGGGCATTCATTGGTACTTGGTAGTTGGATGGTGTATACGTGTCTTTGGTGCAACGATTCCTTGTTCAGTGTCTTCCGTACCGACGGTGAAAACGTGTGTCTACAGAAGTGGGCAAAGGGAAGGTGGAAAACCGGGAAAATACCTGGGAAATATTAAAGTTTATTATTGGATTGAAGGAACCCCCTCCCCTTGGACTAGCCCGATAAGCGGATGCGAGATGCTTATAGGATTCTTTTAGCTTCCTCGATAAAGGAGTCCCGTTGGTTCGAGGTGAGTTTTTGGATTGCGATTGATTTGCAGTTTTCGGCAGCGCATTATGGGCCCCGAGTGTAGTGAGCCAATATGGCTGCCGGGGCCAGCTATGGCGATCGCGGGAGCCATGTTGGCAGGTGCGTTTGTCCAGATAACCAGGCTGCGTTCGTGGAACTCATTCCTGCTGCGATTCATGCGGATGTTGTAACGGATTTTTATGGGTTCAGGACGATGAGAGGATTTCATAGATATTTTATTTTAACTGGAGGCTTCGTTTTGTTTATCAAGTATTTCATTTTTTATTTCATCTTGGCTCCACTTATAATTCGATGATCAGGTATCGGTGATCAAGTTTGGCCTCCTCCAGTGAAAGTAACGCCTGTGTACCTTGCTCGATATTTCTTGCAAAGCAATTATCATCCTAATACGAGGAAAAACTCGTTTCTTACTTTCTGTATGTATATATCGTGGCGTACACACGATATGGGATACAGATGCAAATGGAATGATCTGGACCAATTATTTTCTACCTGCTCCAAGCCTGTTTTCGAGTAAAGCTGAATATTATTGTTTCATTTTATAGAACTGGTTTTAGTTTATGGAAACATTAGTTATACGCTGAAGTTTTTAATTTATTGTTATTCTTTCTATTTATAAAGTAACACACGAATTTAATGAATTCCAGGAGACTCCAAAATGCCAACAGACCTGGTGGTAACATCGGCTTCAGGCTCGGAGGACTCGAGCCGGTCGCGGGATCTTTTGGGACCTTCCTCGCGACCAGGACCCTCATCCTCGTCCTCTTCCAATGCAGGACCCTCGTCTTCAAGGAGCTTTGATCCTGCAAGTGCGTTACAGGCGTACCGTCACCACCATCATGGTTTTGTGGCCGGTCTGGGTCATCCACATCACCGGGAATCATCCGCCTTCGTACCGGTGGTTCCATCCAGACTTCATTTGGCACCGTATCCTGGTGAAATGCACCCTCACTTGTCAGGACCACCCTCGTCTTCGTCTTCCTCAAATCCTGACCACGATGGACCGGAAACGTCAGCTAGGAAGTCGTCCTCGAGTTACGAGATTATGGCTATGATGGCTGATAAGAGAAAAGAATTGGCAGCAAGAGCGCTCCTCCTGCCGCCTCCGCCGTTACTGGAACCACCTCCAGGATATCCTGTCTTCGCAGGGCCTTTTCCAGGAGGATCTGCCCTCTATCCTCCTGGAGGACCTCTGGCACATCAACACTTAGATCGTAGACTGCTCAGAGCTCCGGGCAGAGCGTCAAGACCCAAGAAGCAGTTTATCTGCAAGTTCTGCAATCGGCAATTCACAAAGAGTTACAATCTTCTAATACACGAAAGGACTCACACCGATGAGAGACCTTACTCCTGTGACATATGTGGAAAAGCCTTCCGTCGCCAGGACCATCTTCGGGATCATAGGTAAATCTGAATTCCTGATGAAATTTTGCATACCTAATTTTTTAAAAATTTCCAGACACTACCTTATCTCCCCTTTCAACTCCTTAGCTCCTTTCAGAATTTCAATGATCACTATCCTTCTCAACAATTCAGACACATCGTGATTAACGGAACCTCCGTTATCGGTTTAACCATTCTCTATTAGACAATGCTCCTAATCCTGAACCAGTATCTTTACTACCATTTATAAGCATTTTTTGAATTGATTTCAGGTATATTCATAGCAAGGAGAAACCATTTAAATGTGGCGAATGTGGCAAAGGATTTTGCCAGAGCAGAACCCTGGCTGTGCACAAGATCCTTCACATGGAGGAGTCGCCGCACAAGTGCCCCGTCTGTGCTAGAAGTTTTAATCAGCGCAGTAACCTGAAGACTCACCTACTGACGCACACGGATCATAAGCCCTACGAGTGTACTTCCTGCGGTAAGGTCTTCCGCAGGAATTGCGATTTGCGTAGACACGCTCTGACACACGCGGTCGGCGACGTACCACCGGAAGCACTAGAGGAAGCATTGCGGGACGATGACAGTCCCGAGGAAGATTGTCCTGAACCAGGACCTTCGTCCTGTCCCTCCAAAGCTCCATCCACCTCCTCGACCTCCTCGACGACAGGTTCATCCTACCCACCACCACCGCCACCACCGCCGGCGTCAACGTCAATTCCTTCAAGGCCGCAACTTCAGATTCGCCGGGATCTGCTCCAAGTTAAACCATCGACGATAACCAGTGGAGGTGGTTTGTCCAGTTCACAAAATCCACCACCTCCGTTGCCACCGCCGCCACCACTTATTCTTACGTCTTATAGACGTAGACTGGGTTCACCCGGTCCTTCCAGGGTCCTTTTGGAACTTCAGGAACGGGAGAGGGAGCGAGAAAGAGAAATTGAAAGGCAGCGGGAGAGAGAACGCGAGAGGGAACGCGAGAGAGAACGAGAAAGAGAAAGAGAAAGAGCAGAAGAGAGACCTCCTAAAGATCCTACTCCACAGCCACCACCACCTCCGCCAAGACCAGCTCCAGCTAGGCAAGGATTCACCATTGCGGATATTATGCGGCGGTAGAATGATTCCTCCGATTATTTGGATTTTAGTAAAGTCATCCGGAGTGTTGATGAACTTGGATTTCAACCTCTGTAGCGTCTTCATGGAGTAGCGGAGAGAATCTTGAAATTTGGAGTATCGAAGATCGGTTCACGATCGGAGATCGACTTAACTTTGAACGATCGATCGAGAATTTGTTTTTAAGTAAAATATGGCGATATCAGTGAATTCCCAGTAAAAATGATTATTCAGTATTAACTGAATATATTAGTATGCTACACTGTTGAACCACTATTGTTGATACACATGTATGTGATTGAACTCTCGTCAAATTCGGCTATATCGAAGAACCGTGATTTTCCTAGCGACCTGTTGGATTCGTTTAACTCAATGATAATTTTTCGTCAGCTAAGTCAATCGAGATGACAGAGTCGAGTCTAGTAGATTCGACTCGCTTCATATAATACGTGTATTACTACAAAATGCAGGATCTCCCAAAAGACTGCTTTCGTTATACTACAAGGACCTGGATGAACTTCACGTGAATATTCACTGTTATCCCGATTACTGGGATGAACGAATAGACAGAGTGTACGAGTGTGTACAAGGTGTGTAATCCATGACAGAGAGATATCATTGGATTTGATGATAGCGAGAAAATAATTTGTGCCAACGTGAAGTCATGCAAAAGAAATGTATGGACATTAATATAAGTTCGTGTACGTTGAGAACGTCTCGATTCCCTGAGCAATTTTAAAATATAAGCATAAATCGAATCGGTAGATTAATCGTACCGTTATAATTAAAAGTGCCTTGAGTAATGAACACGAAGGAAATATATCCAAGGTAACAGTTGTTCCCAAACATCTGACCCACGCGAAAAGGGGTCACTCTCTTTAAAAAAATTAATAATCGTGCAATCGCGCCATACAATTACAAAGTGACGTTAATGGAAGAATATAATAATTCTTGCGATCGAAGTAATTCAAGAAACTCTTAATAAAACACGTCTCGCGAAAAAGGAACGAATGAGTAAAAAGGACAAAGAAATAAAAAGGGACCAAACGATTGCCCAACAAGGAACCGCGTGAACGACTTTATTGTAAATAAGAAAAATCCATGTTAAAGAAAGCACCGTACTTGGGGTATCGTCCAGTGAAAAAAAATAAAAGCCCAGTGTTCACTTTTATATTTTAACGTGCGAGTCAGGGAAGAACTTTCGAAGCGGATTAAAGTGGACGAAGAAAAAAGAAAATAAAAAATTACAAAAAATATTTATATAACAAAAAGCAGCCCTAAATCCGGCATGCCATTTCTCGTGTCATAGGGACGAAATATATTTACCTGTATAATGTCGCAATTCTGAGATTCTAAGATGCGCGTGCGTCTCTTACGTTTGCACGTGCGAGAGTGCACGTGCAGGTGCGTGTTTCCTTACCGCGAGTGCATCTGCGCTCGAGTGTATCTGTAAATAAGTAGGAAAAACGGGATGGAAGTATTTGATATTGAAGTTGGACGGGAGCTTAAAGTGAAGAACGAATAATGGCAGTGTATTTTGTTAATGAGTGGTTCAATGAAGAGAGCGATGTTGAAGAAGAGAGAGAGAGAGAGAGAGAGTCACATAGAGTTGAAGTTAAAGAATGAAAGAGACAAGCACAAAAAAAAAGAAGAAAAGATATAGGAAAAACGGTAGAAAGGGTCCTTTGTCCTGTCAAAGACCGCATGGACCTATGATGCAAATTTCACCTGACCGAGCTGTGTGTGCCACTGTAACGGTGGCAGGTGCAATACGGTACCCAGGCTACTTTTCGAATACTACCTGCACTTCTAAAAATATTCTCTGACCCTCTTCAGCACTGCCACGTTTTCGTCCTTTTCTAATTTTTTTTTGTTAGCCTGCCGTTTTTGTGATCGTCTCTTTTTCTCTCTCGTTCTCTTCTCCTTGTACTCGAAGAGGACTATTAAGGATCCTTTTGTGGCTAAACGTCCTGCGTGGCACCCCAGAACTCGTTCCACCTATTATACCACGTTCCGAGTACTGTCACCGCGGCAGGATATCTTCGAAATGCAATAATTTTGGTCTCCTTTTTCTTTTTCTCTTTCTTGCTCTTTATCCCTTCTTTTTTATTCAGGCTTCCTTCTTTTCTTCTCATTCGAAAGTATCGATACCTGCCGCGATCTTGTTCTCTCGATTGCTCTATCGCTGAATCTTCTTATTCAGCCTGATTTTTCTTTAATCCCTTTTTTTAGCCATTTTCATCCTTTGCACTGGAACGTTCGACGCATTTTCACTCGTTTTTTTGCACGCATGTTGATCAACGTTTTATGCATTATATGCTCATTTAATTATTATTTAATAATATCTTTATAGCAGTGTAGATTGAAGTGGTTAATATGCTTCGTATTTAATAATATTGTTGAATTATTAAATTGTGAAAATTTAATATGCTCGTGCTACCAAAATAACCGTCGCGGACGTTCTAGTTGTCACCTGCCTTGTTATTTTTCGATTTTCTTTCTTCTTTATGTGACATCAATTCCCTTCGTCTTTTTCTCTTTTTTTTTTTTTTGTTAATTACGAAGTTGCGACAGACTACGTGAGGTGTGTTTATTTTATGTTTATCTTTTATTTTATATTTTTAGCAAATCGACTTAGAGACTTTAAGGCTCAGCTTTACCATTTAAATTTAAAGCCAAGCATAGCTGAGCTCAGTCTGGATTGTTTTATGCCATTAATATCATAAGCGTTAAATCATTGGGATTAACTGAACTTTAAGTCGAACTTAAATGGTAAAACTGAGTCTGAGTAATGTATAGTGATTTATGCTATGTACAATGTACAACGTACAAGGAGACCGATGCGTGATAGATTCGAAATATGCATGTTGGTTTCACAGTTTCCTGTTAATTTTTACGACCTAATTTTACGTTTACTTTAAGTACCTATACTTATTGATTTGTATGAGAGCGCTCGAGTAAGAAAATTTGTAAATTATATTAAGGAGGATGAAAAATGAGAGAAATAAAGTTGCCTTACTTTTGACAGAATATCAAAAGTTTTGAGAAATGTCTTAATACCTGCTCCTTTGAGACAATAGCGATTGAATCGTTTTCATTTTTGGCTTTTTCAATCAGACAAGCTCGTTATTCGTTTAACAAAATTGCACAAGTCCTCAAACCAATATATTCATTGAAATTCTTGTAGAATTATTTTACTTACCATTCTATGACCTTTACAATCAAATAATTATAAATAAATTACTAAAAGGATCTGGGCACTGTTTCTCCATACCTATTTTATCTGACTTCCAGTAGCATACATCAAAGATTGCAATGTTCCTTGGCATTTGGTATGTCTTGAAACGTGTGAAAATATTTATATCGTGCAAAAAGAAAAATAAAGTTAATACGAATCTCGAGCGATTTTCGTGATATTGGTACGTCGACCACGAAGACGTGGTGTAAGGCAGGACGAAGACCCTTTGGCGTTCCGAATTGCTCGAAATACAGTCGAGTCGACGAGTGCTCGGCTGCCCTTGTTCTTGGGCATCCATCTTGATCTTCATGGTCCAGGGATGCTGTAACGTTCCGAATCCCATGAATGATACAGTAGAACCGACTAGTCTTCTCCGCCAGGCAACGGGTTTTCCGTCCGTTTCGTCGCTAACCGCCATCAGGTTGAACTGTTTATGAAAGAGTATTTTCGTGCCAACTTCGGTATTTAATAATCGCTAATATGTAATCAGGCATGTTTTGCAAATTTCCGAGAACTTCTAATTTTATGGACTGTTTGGTATCTTCAAACTTTCTAGAATGTACTGATTGCTCGGTGTCGTTGAAATACTTTTCGGAGATCCTTTTTTATTTTTTTATTTTGTCCTCTCACCCGCGGGCACGGACTCAGAATTTCGATTACGAAGAACCTAGTATGGATGAAAGGACATTTTTTTCAGTTTCAAATGAACCGGTTATTCTCACTAGCGTTTCTTGGAATGCTCTTTAATAATTTTGCATTATGACCATGTGAATTCTGTTTTTTTTTTCTAGCTAGAGTTAATTAATTACAAAGTAATTATTATGACGTTACCAATATTGGTTCAGTGTAAATCGCAAAAAAATTGAGCACTGTCAGGACGTTTGAGTATAAAACGATTAAACTATTAAATAGAGTACATCTAATTTATAATTAATTTATATAATAATTTATTTCGTCGTCACAGAAGAAAAAGATTTTTTTATTTCTAATCATACGACGCAAAAGATTTAATCCACTGATAATTTATTGAACCAAAACGTAAAATACGAAATGTAAAGACAGTTAACTTTACAACCGAGGGTTGGCTTTGTGATGGCAAGAAAAAAATAAGTTACCAAACGGATTGTCGGTAAGAGGTACTCTACTGTACCGACCTAATTATAATCACAGATAGTATCTACTGTCGGTATGATAAACATCCTCCTCTTCGCCCTGTGCTACGTTATCGATCAAAGGTAACAAAATTGCTACGAACGTCTCTGCATTACCATCCAGTTTTTGCAGATCCTTACATTGAAGAATTACCCATCGTAGAAATCTTCATTTAATGCTACCCTTCGTTCAAAGATCGCCACACGGTCCAGATCGATAGACGTACAAAACTACGACCCATTTCACAATAAAAAGATTAAAAAAAGACAATTCTTTAGACCCATATCTTTAATACGAAATATAATAAAAATGACTATCTTTAATAGGCAAATTGTATTCAATCAAAATTCCGTTAAAATCAAATTAACTGGGTATTAAAAATCATGCCAAAGTAATTTTTTTTATTAAACAATTCTTCGAAATCGTCGTTTGTACGTTATCTCATTGTAAATTCTTTTGCTTATCACTTATCGGTACGCAATCATCCATACTTCGAATCACGTTCTATATCAAACGATACGATATGATACTGGATATCCAGGAAGAGAAAATATTTTTGGTTTCAGGATCGAAATGGACTGGTACGAACTGACTGAAATGGACCAAAAGTCGCGCAAGGACATTACGTAAATTAATTATATGACCAAGGATTGGTACTTTAAGTAGGCAAGGGTGGCAACGTATCGATCGGCCAGCCATAAAGAGACGATGACACGAAAGAAGGAACGCAGGGCTGGTGAGTTTTACGCGCGCTAAAGAGCTTTTTACGAGGGTCTCTGGAGATAAAGGGGACTTTATCGAACTACCAGCCCAAGAGCCGTTTTCAGGGCCGTAGCTACGACCTGCACGGAGGTCCATTTCGATTTCCTATGCGAGGGAGGTAGGACGCGTGGGCGAAGTGTCGACGGGTAGAAAGCTCCTCTTCCATGCATACAATACTTAAATTCATCCAGATACACAACAAATAGTAAGAACAGCCTTAGGTAACGTCCACAGACACATATTTAAACTACGTGAAACTATTAGATCATTGGATATAGATCAACAATCACAAAAATGTCGAACGATATAAAGAGAGAGATTGAATATACTGAAAATGTAAGGAGCATCTATAGAGTGAAACTAGATTATGTTTAAAAAAAATATTTTAATAATTTGTCGATAAATTCATTTGAAAAATATCTTCAATTCACTTTTGCCATGTAAATCGTACGGATTAGTGAATAATGCTAACTATTTGCTTGACAGTGTTTTTAATTACAAATTTGTATTGGCTTGTTACGATAAAATCACATGCTCCATAGTGGAATCGGTGATTCGTAATATGCAGCATGTACATCGCATTAAGACTCAGCGATGAAAATATTAGAGACTTTTTATTGACGATAAAATAATGCGTAGGCCCAGGTTCGATGGACTCTTACGACTCTGGGTAGAAAACGAATTCCTGTGATAATGAAAGAAACAAGAGGAGTAAGTGTTTATTGATATATAGGGCAACGTACGTCTTAAAGTTAGCTAAAGAGCAGGTTTTGATATGGGCAGGAAATAATTTTAAACGTCCCTATAGAGACAAAAATTTTCACTGATATGCCCTTAAGGCGTGATTTTGAACAATATCCTCATTTCTTCGTTTCTAATTTTAATAATTAATTAAAAGCTACCCACACAGCACATAATGTCAGTAGTACGTCCATAGGACGTTTATAGAAATTCTCAGAGACGTCTATAGGACGTTTGTGCTAAATGAGTAAAAACCCTTATGACGTTATGCAAAGTAAGTGTTGTTAAATGGAAATAAAAATTATTTAAAATTATACTGTTGATATTTAGTATTTCAAAATTGCTTCAAAATCCTAATCCTAATTACAACCTATTAGTATAGTCTAAAATGCATAACCAAAACACTCAATCTCAAATACCCTAATTGTCAGTCTTTCAGATATATTTCTTTAACGTTAATTTTAATAGATCATCCAGCTTTAACTGCTAATGAATATAATAACCGAAAATTATAAGCGTAACCTAACAGGATGAACTATCTAATATTTCTAAGACAAAACTGTTATTCGTACGAATAAATCTTGGGGTTTCTACAGTAAAAATAAAAGAAATTTACCACCGTAAGATATTGCCACTCCACGTTAATATCTTGACCTAAACGCCATAGGGAGTCGACAAATGGTTCAAGGTCACGCGAATAGTTTCGCCACCAATTACCAAGTCAGGTAGTTGAGTGGCACGTTCTGGAGCTACCAATTAAGAGAGCGGTAGTCTTTTTTCGGTAACCGTGGAGAACGCGATGATTCCGGGAGCACCAGAGATCCAGTAAAAAGGTCAAAGTATATTTGCATGGCTATGAAAACTGACAAAATAATTCATCAAACTGCAAGTCGTCCAATGGTAAGTAAAGAAGCTCAAAATTATTCGAGCAGATAACAATCGACGTTCTAAAAGATCCCATCACGAATTCCAGATCCGAAGAATCGTTACTGAGGGAAATATCGAGAGGACTTATGAATATAAGAATCTTTTAAAATCCTGGAAATCACGTCAGTGTCTACCGGATGTTTCGAGTAAGCTGATTATAGCAGAAGGGAACCTTTAGGGATACCTCAAGAAAATGGATGGAACGTTGACAGGTAGATCTTTGATCGCAGAAGATTAACATATTTTAAAATAAGAAATGTCATTCTGTGCCCTGAACGTGGGAAATGTGTTGAGATTATGCAATAATAAATACACTATAATACATTTACAAAAAAGTCTAATATTAGTATACCAACAAATGGCAATGATTCATTAATATCACTTAAGAAAGGATAAACTACATATATACACAGAAGAGAAAACACAATGATGCTACATATGTAGATTAAAGGTGAAGAAGGATGCAACGTAATATCGTCAAGAGCGTGTTAAATTAATTGTAAAGTCATGGAGCGTCATAAAAGCCATAATGGGCATTTCGCATGCGACCACGTTAAAGACACAGGTAAGGGCTGTTTTGTACAAACGCAAATATAAAGGACTTGGTCACGGTATATGCGACGGTTTGAAAAGAAAAAGAAAAGCCCACCACCTTCCACCTATACAGTTTCTTCTCTCAGGCGACGGTACGTGGATTCTTTCCCAGTTTTATCATTACAACTAGCTAAGAGTGAGAGAGAGACGAGAGAGAGAGGGACATCGTTTGAGGAAGACATAGCTACGAGGCCCATACAGTTTTACAGCTCTAAAAGTGACTAAAAATCGACAAACAATCTATTCCGGGCGCGTCTGGCTGTACTAGATGATAAAGTCGCAGACGCAGTCTAAAAAGAAACGCAGCCGTGGCTGGCAGCGTCGTGGTGTCGGCATTCTATGAAAATGTCGGTCTTTCACAAAAAGCCAAGTCAAATATGGGCGTGTTTTCTGGCACGTCGAGTTAAAGTTAAAATCCTTTAAAGGCATTTTACACGGAGTACAAGGCGGTTACAGTACAGTGTTAACATATCCACGTAATACTAGTCTTTATTGCGGCATCCTTGACACGGTCGATCAGTACCGTGGATTATTAGCGTCATCATAACTAATATTGGCACAATCATCGTTGTCTTTGATCAGCGTTCCTTTCTAACATTTCTCGTACCTGATACTG